ATAGAATAATATATGCAGTAGGAAATATATGGGGATACCTGTATCAAGGGTAAAAAAAAATCTAATTTGAAAATGACCAGCTGTATGCGCAACTATGTAATTGCAAAGAACAAAAATCAACTTAAGAAATCTCCAAAACGTATTTATGGGCACTACAACACACTGCTCTGAGTGTGTCGTACAATGATATCGTACTTTTACAGGACTGAGACAGGATCTTTTAGATAGAAGGGGCGGGGTTGCATGTTTGGGACAGAAGCTCCTGATATTTGCGTGGCTGGAGGGAAACACTTTGCAACATAGTTGAAAGTTTAAACAAGTCTATTTGCATAATATGTCTTCTTTAAACCAGGGCTGAACCGAGGTCCTGGGTTCGTTCTGAGTGGAGTTTAGTTTCCTCTGGGTGTTCCAGATTCCCCTACGACTAAAATAAGTATTTAGTCAGCCACCAATTGTGATTGAGAACGATGAGAGATGCCTCTAATTGTCATTATAGGTATACCTCAACGTTGATCCAGAAAATCAAATCTAACCTGATTTCCAAAAATGTATTTGCAAATTATGGTGAAAAATGAATGTTTGGTCACCTACAAACAAGAAATATTTCTGGCTCACTGACCTATAACTTTACAAGAGACTCCTCTGTCTTCCACTTGTTTCCTGTGTAATTGGCACCTGTTTGAACTCAGTATTTATATAAATGACACCTGTCCACAAACTCCACTATGGCCAAGACCAAAGAGCTGCCGAAGAACACCAGAAACAAATGTATAGATCTGCACCAGGCTGGGAAGATTGAAACTGCAATAAGTAGCAGTTTTGTTTGAAGAAATTAACTGTGGGAGCAATTATTAGAAAACGGAAGACATACATGACCACTGATGGTCGCCCCAAGCTCTCAATAGCCGCGTTTCCACCGCAGGAACTTCGGGATAGTTTTCCAGGGCCAGCCCCATTGCTGCGTGTCTCCACTGCAGGAACTTCCAACACAGGGCCATTTACATGAACTTTTACGGGGCCCAACGGAGTCCCTCCTCCATGCTAGGTACTCCGTTGGCCCTGGTGGGACTTGAGGTTAACCCGGTGCTGATTGGCTAAAGCTAGTGCAGGCTCTGACGCCAGCAGAAAGCACCAAAACAACCAGCATTTTAAAAATCCAGCAGCATTAGCCCAGCAGTTATGGCCTAGTAGAGACCACTGGAAACAGCTAACAACAGCACGGCATTGATTCCGACCAGGTTTGAAGCATCGTGGTGAAATTAAAAGATAGATTAAGACATATCAGCTTCACCTCGAAGCACTGAGGATTCATCACACTCTAAAACAAGCAGTGAAAAGTTTTTAAAAACGGAAGCAGGACTACAACACCACAACACCTGGAGCAGTTACGGCCGTTAAATAAACAAATGGGTTTGGCGTAATGACTTTCGCTTATGCGGCATTCGAAACTCATGACGTTACAGAGTGGTCCTACTGCACTGGAGACACGGACACTGAGAGGACCGAGGGAGAGGAAGGTTCCTGTAAGTTCCGCCCAGCTCTTTTTACCAGGAACTCCTGCAGTGGAAACACGGCTAATCTGAGGATTCATGCAAGCTACTATCAGTGACCACAACAGGACTCAAATCACACGTGTCCACTGCCCAAGCCAGTGGATGTCCAGGCTCGTCGGAAGTTAGAACTTTTTGGTAAGAACTCCACTCATTGTGTTTGGAGACTGCTGAGTTGCATCCATACCTACTGAGAAGCAGGGGGTGGAAACATCATGCTTTGGGGCTAATTTTTATGCCAAAGGAAAGATTAGATAGGGCCATGAATACCGTCAGCAAAGGCATTGAAGATGAAACGTGGCTGGGTTTTTCAGCACAACAATGACCCCAAACACACATAAGAAGCATTTAAATGTCATGGAGTCTGTAGATCTCAACCCCATAGAATATTTTTGGAGAGAGTTGAGAGTCCCCCAGCAACAGCCCCAAAATATCAGTGTACTGCATTGATGAATGGGCCAAGATACCAGCAACAGTGTGTTGTGAAGACTTGACCTCTGTTACTGCCAACAAAGAGTGTGTAATTATAATTTGCTAATATATCCTTAGAAATCAGATAATGTGATTTTTTTTCCTTCAATATTGTTTTTCATAGTTGAGATATTCCAAAGATAATATTTACTTTTTTAAGTGGGTGGACTTGCACAATTGGCGGCTTACTAAATATTTCTTTGCCCCACTGTACAATTGGTAAAATCCTCCATAGTCCTAACCAAGCCGAGCATCAACATCTGGAGATACGTTTCAGGGCGCTGTACTGCAGCGACCACTGCTCCTGACAGAGGCCCTTGTGGCATTGCAGGATGGATCAAATGGAGAGAACAAATGTCCCTACAGGGACATTAGTATATCTTACCATTATTTAACTTACCTAAGTGCAACTCTTGTTTTACACTAAGCTATTTCCGTGTGGCGCCACGCTACACTGAATCTGACTGAAGTGTTCATGACTGCAGAGGGAAAGAAACTGTTCTTGTGGCAGGAGGTTCTGGTCCAGATGGTCCTTAGCCTCCTGACTGAGGGAAGTGGTTGGAACAGTCCATGTGCAGGTGAGAGTGGTCATCAGTGATTCGATCAGCCCGCCCGCGAGCTCGGGCGACGATCCTGCAGCGATGGGAGGCTGCGGCCGATCACCTGTAAGACTACTGACTGTGGCTCCAGCGAAACACACGGTGATGGAGGAGGTGAGGATGGACTCGATGATGGCTGTGTAGAACTGCACCAACATCTGTGCAGGCAGCTTGGCTTTCCTGAGCTGCCGCAGGAAGTACATCCTCTGCTGGACCTTCTTGATGAGGGAGCTGATGCTCGGCTCCCACTTGAGGTCTTGAGTAAGGACCTCAATAGAATAGAATAGATTACTCAGTTAATAGAAGGTGATAATTCATATATTGTGTTCCGTGCATAGAATTTGATCCTATCAGAAAAATGTGATGTTGAATTACAATGAATGAATCCATGTGCATTAAATGACAATCCTGATAAAGTTTTACGTTATCACGCAGACCCAATTACAAATCTCACCTGCTGCGGTCCCATTCAAACCTCAGTTAATGGATTTATTTACAATTTAGTTTAAACTTTGTTTGTATGAGGGTTGATGCAATAATCCTCTTGTACTTTCTGATTTGACCTTTATTCTTACTGCAAAGTCTAAGGAATGAATGACACATAAAGTGTGAAATTCAAATGGAATTTGTCTGGTGCTCTTTGGAAGTGGTGGTTGAATTACTTAAACTCAATACTGGTTTAAGTGTAATAAAAAACTATATGTACTTAGAAGTTTGGCATTACATAAGTACAGAAAATAGAGGTCAGTCCCACTTATTTTGCAGTGTTTCAATTGAAGAAGAATCATAAATGTGGTGTATCTAAAACCGAGTCCAATTAGGCGCAGTTTCTGGCTTCCATGTTCCTCTGCCTCACTTGCACAACACACACCCCTCTGTGAGCTTTTCTATAATTCACATTCTGTCAAGACTGTTCCAGACTGCTGGCTCCAGCCTCCCTCTTGCTCTCCCTCTTGCTCTGCCTCTCCCTCTCCCTCTCTATAGGAAAAGAAAAAAGGATGAAAGTAAAGAAAGGGGACAGAAGCAAAGGTTTTGAGACAAAGCTGATAGAACCACACACATGTGACCACAGCAATGGGGTAGTGTGTGCATGTGTGTGCGTGTGTGTGTGTGTGTGTGTGTGTGTTTGTGGGTGTGTGTGTGTGTGTGTATTATATATCCATGGATTTCAGAATTATGAAAAATCAGGACAGCTGCCTATTCAGTCACTGAGGAACTTAATTCATCTTTCGTTAGTCTGCCCCAGGGCAGCTGTGGCCAGAGTGGCAATACCAAGTGAAGTGGTGTGAGAATGAATGATACAGATAATACAGATTACAGCACTGTCTGTCACATTTTCATTATCCCACAGTCCTAAATGTCCAACTGTTCAATGCAGTGCATCTACGTAGACGTCCTCTGTGACGGTCAGATTCTGACGTGGAACCCTATGTCCTCTCAGGGTCGTCAATGAACCATGTGGGTAATGTCTACTGCCCCCTTCAGTCAGATGATAGAACAGCAATAAGAATAATATTGGCTACGGCTAAGCAGAAAAAAGCATTTATTGTCCAACTCACGCACATTTGTTCAGACTAAAGCTTACATCGACTACAATGAATGTCAAAACAGTTTGTTATATTTTTTGTCATTACCTATTTTCATGTGTTCCTCAAAATGTGTTTGGACTTTGTCGCATAATACAACATATCACCATTTAAAAGGTTGGCTATAGGCTACCAGCTCCTAAAGGACCCGCCTCTGCACGGCTGCTGGAATAAACCAATGGTCATTAGGACGCAGAAGGCTGACTGGCCAGAGTGCAGACAAAGCTGGAAGGCTGTGAGCAGCGTGTTTGCAGGCTCTTTATTCTGGTGCGCTCCCCTCTCTCGCTCTCTCCAGCCCAGTAAGCTGGGACACGCACACGCATACATACAGAGAAAAACAGAAAAACGGAGGCGCACCACGCGGGTATAGCGCACAAAGCAGCTGCGCTCTCCGCTTTACTAATCGGCGTCTTTGGGCTTGTGCCTGTCGCCCTACACCGTACGATTGCCATGGCGACCGGGGTCTGAGTAATCATTTGTGCAATGACCCCTATTCTCCAGAGAGGGGGTGGGGGAGGGGAGGATGAAAGCAGCGCCAGCAGAGGAGCGAGAGGAGGGAGGGCCGCGCGCAGAAGCCTGACACAAAAAAGCAAAGGGAAAACTGATTTTCTTTCCACTGGCAGCAGACAGAGAACCATTAGATTATTATACGAACAGAGTTCGGTAGTAGGCCTGTACCGTGGAAAGGGGAAGAACGGAGGATTTCGATGGTGCCCTACTTAACGAACGAGTCGGTTTATTATTTGAGATACGCAACATTTAACCAGATTCTTGTTACTTTTTAATTATAGCCTATGGTCTCAACGCAACATGTCACTATACTCAGGTGAGTTCGTGAGAATAAGCGGAAAGTCCCAAATTCAGCAGTCCTGAAGGGGGCACTGTAGGACCGGTTAGACTTTTGCATTCCCCTCGTAAAGTGGATGAAACCTTGAGCTCAGACATTCAGACAAAGGCACTAATGAGGCTACATGGATACATCAAGATTTTAAACGAATATATACAATTAACCCACCAGTCAAAACATATACACACACACATGTGTCATGATTCTCCTATGCCTGTCTTGTTTCTTTATGTGCCTTTAAACATCTTGGCTTTGAGCGTTGACTTGAATGTATTTTGGTCCTCAGTGCTTTTCAAGGCGTGGCCGAGAATACCGAGAAACCAGCGTGTGTGACTAAAAGAGTTTCTATTGGGGAGAAGTCAGAGCAGAGTGTGGAGAGTGAAGTTGTGGATGTGACCATCGGCATAATTAATACTCTACCTGCTGATGCTGCACTTCCCCTGCTGATAATGTATTCATCTGGTTTCACTCTGGTCTTCAGCACATTGAGCGGCATTCTGCAAAGAGAAACCAAAACCAGTAATTTCTAGAACCATGGTGTCTAAATCTGCTTTATGAACATGTATAAACAATATAACGTTTTTGTAATAAATTAATACGTTTTCATATCAAGAGAACCTGCACTTTCAAATGTCCCAAATAAATAGTTCACTCTTGAGTACGAAGGGAAAGTTCAATCTGACAATATAATAAGTTACTAAGACTGTGTACGTATATTTAAACAATAAAAAAAGGTTTTCTGTGCACTGAGTTGAAAACGTCATGCCATTGATTGTCACACATACGTTGAAAGCAAAATTCTTTGTTGAAATTCATTTAATCTTTCATTCACTGAATAAAACAATGAAACATAATGGTATTATAGGCCCATACCATAAGTAATGAGCAGAAAAAAAATTGTATTCGTGCAATACCACGGAGGGTGAAAAATCAACATTAATGTGGGTTATGTGAAAGTGGCTCAAGTTCTCATCAATAAATAATATACTCTTCATTTTTAGTTTTACCTTCATTATTTAGGCTGATTCTATATAACAACATCTCCAGTAAAGCCTGATGGTTTCACTTCCACTCTGTGCAGTTGTGTCCATAAGCAAGAAGCTGTGAGTGGTTGGAGGTGGTCAAATACAGTCGACACAAGTTATGGCATAACCCCACAACAATAAAATCCTGTTATGCAAAATCCATTTTGAATTGTCTTTTGCAGCTTTAAAGTTAAACTCAGCTGTGACACCCACCCAAACTATGAGTATGTTCTAAAATAAGAAACCTTTCAAAACAAAAGTAAAAGCTGTGCCCAGTTTTGTAGTGAAACTGTCATCTGCAGTGCTTCACGAGTGATACAAAGTATGAACTACAGAGGTATAACTGTGGAGAAGCAGGTACTAATCAGAAGAGAGGCATAGACAGTCATGCAGCGAGGCTGAAAAGATGAGGAGAGAACATAAACAGCACAGATGAGCGCGGGCGGGAGCAGATACACAGAGGAAAGTCTCAAAATAGAAAGACACCACAGTATGACTCTCCTTATGCACACAGCACAGCTATCACTTCACCCATGTTTGAATGTTATTGTTGTATTAATAGGGCTCTGCAGCTTCAATTGTTTTGTCAACCATGTGAGGAAGTCCTATTTGACAAAATATTTAGTAAGGATCATACTGATTTACATCTGCAGAAAGAACTATGAAGAAAGGGGGGTAATGGATTATGGCCTACTTTTGTGACACCCAAAAGACTCTTCACAGTATTGTTCATTCACGCCATACACAGTGGTGGTAAACTACTACTGCAGCCACAGCTGCCCATGGGCAGACTTAGAGCTATGATCTTAAATTATCCCCATAAAGTAAATAAGTTTCAAATGAGATACTCCAATAACATATCAAGCCCTGAAACTGTGAATGATTGATAGAAAGAGTAAGGTAAGATATATATGCTATTGTTCCTGTAGAAAAACTGAGAAGATGACATTTACGGACACAGTGTTCGACAAATTTACCCGGATCAACTTTTCTCCTGTTAACAAGGGAAAGAGAGATAATCTCCAACGGTTGGGGCTTGCTCTAAGACAGCGGTGGCAAACTGGTCAGAGGTAAGAGCCACACCATACCAGCACCACGAGCCCCAGGGGTTGGACTATATATACCAAGTTAACATTTGGGATAATTACTAGGATGGTTAGAGTAATAATCATAATAATAACTACAACAATATGTTAGCACAGTGTGTGCTCTTGTCTTGCCTTTTTATAAGAAGTTATGTTTTTTTTAAATTAGTTTTTTGTGATGCAATAGCAGAACAGAAGCAGAACTGTATTTGTATGTACAAACACACCATATATCCAAAACTGTTCATAAAGACATTGTATAAAAATAGAATATTATCCAAAAGTGACATTGCAGTAAATGCTTAACATTTGTGTAAAATTTAAATTTGATTTATTGAGATTCTTCTTCATACAGCAGAGCTTCAGGAACATTACACTTTTTATTTCACATTGATAGCACCGATAGTTCCACAGAAATGCACAATCATAGGCTGCACTAATACGTTTGTGCGAATATTAACCACATGTCACATGTGCACGTCCCCGAGCCGTGTGCGGTCTGGGGAACAGCGAACAGGAGACTTTTAAACATTGTATTATAATAAAACTTTCAAAGCAAACTATATAAACAATGCAAAAGGCTATGAAGCCAAAAATGGGAAAGAAACAGCATTGTAACAATTCTTTATGGAAATTACTATTTCCATCAAACTTGATAAGAGGCAAAGACCTGCATTCTGATTGGACGAGAACCACATGGGGCCCGCGAGCCTCGGGTTTGCAATCCTGTTCTAAGAAAAGACACAAGGACATTATAAAAAAAGCTCCATTCTGGACTCCTGAACACAAGACAGGACTATTCAAGACAGTGGAAGGCCTTGTCCAGAAACAAGACCGACAGATGAAGAACATCTCCATAGAAACAAACAGATTCTATGATTTCCTAGCCTAAAACGTTGACATTGTTACACTAAACTCAACCAGGCTTGTTTTCATAGATCTAATAAGTTATAACAATAACTGGTTGATCATTTGAATCAATATTTTTATATAGTCTATTGTCAAATGTCACCTCATCTCTGAACTGTTTTCTGGACCATCCCTAGACCCAAAACATACCTGTGTGGATGTTATCTTCTTGCAAAAAATGGCACATGCTCTGCTTCCAGATTTGATAAATGACCAATATTGATGTATATTGATGTGTCTTATATGTGTGTTTTGCTGTCACTGCTGCAATAATCGGTGTGTTCTCAAACTTCCAGGGGCTCCTGTAGACAGAACTCCATCCTGAAGTGTCTCACCTCAGAGGGAGAATTTGGGAAATATTTCAAAGCTCTAATCACACATGACACAAAACTGGAGCTGCACTGGCCTCTACAGGTTAAATGTGGGTTATTGCATTCACTTGGCATCAGAGGAGTGGCTTTTCTGAAAAGGCCACGGGCACAATCACCCTCATTCTTTGGAGTGAAGGAATCTGCAACAACGCGGCCCGTCCTGATGAGTTATCAATGAATGTATAGATTATAGACGACAACTGGGAGGAAGTGACATGAGAGAACAAGAAAGAGAGGGGGGGGGGGGGGGGGGGCATAAAGAGTGAGAGGGAGAGAGAGAGAGGTATATAGAGAGAGAGGGAGTGAGAGATAGACATAGAGAGAGAGGGAGAGAGAGAGAGAGAGGCGTAAAGAAAGAGAGTGTGATCAACAGAGAGAGGGGGAGAGAGAGAGAAAGATGTTGAGTGGGATCGACATAGAGAGTGAGGGGGTGAGAGAAGGGAGAGAGACTCAGAGAGAGCGGGTGAAAAAGAGAGATCGACGTAGAGAGAGGGGGTGTGAGAGAGACATAGAGAGAGAGGGGGAGAAAGAGAGAGGGAGAGAGAAAGATAAACATAGAAAGAGGGAGAGTGAAATTGGCATAGAGAGAGAGGGACATAGAGAGGGAGAGAGAGAAAGGCATCGAGAGAGTGAGATCGAAAGAGAGAGGGGAGGGGAGAGAGAGATAGATGTAGACTGAGGGGGTGAGAGAGAGGGAGAGAGAAAGATAGACATAGAGAGAGAGTGACATTGACAGAGAGGGGGGGTGAGAGAGAGAAACATAGAGAGAGGGGGGTGAAAGAGAGAGATAGGTGTAGAGAGAGGATGTGAGAGAGAGGGGGGAGAGAGCGTGAGATCGACGTAGAGAGGGAGGGGGTGAGAGGGACATAGAGAGAGACATAGAGAGAGGGAGAGAGAGAGAGATCGACATAGAGAGGGAGGGGGTGAGAGGGACATAGAGAGAGACATAGAGAGAGGGAGAGAGAGAGAGATCGACATAGAGAGGGAGGGGGTGAGAGGGACATAGAGAGAGACATAGAGAGAGGGAGAGAGAGAGAGATCGACATAGAGAGGGAGGGGGTGAGAGGGACATAGAGAGAGACATAGCGAGAGGGAGAGAGAGAGATCGACATAGAGAGGAAGGGGTGAGAGGGACATAGAGAGAGGGGGGTGAGAGAGAGAGGGGGTGAAAGAAAGAGATGAATGTAGAGAGAGGGGGAGAGAGAGATAGAGAGAGTGAGATCGACATATAGAGAGAGGGGGTGAGAGAGAGGTATCGAGAGGGTTAGAGAGGTATAGAAAGAGAGAGTGAGATAGACATAGAAAGAGGGGGAGCGTGAGAGAGAGACATAGAGAGAGATACACGTAGAGAGGGGGGGATGAGAGAGAGAGAGAGAGAGACCAGTTCACACTATCCTCTGTTCTTCATTGAGATAGAGCTTTAGGGCTGCATGATTTTGGCAAAATATCTAATTCTGACTAACATTGCGATTTTCAATATCCTGTTTATCTTTTGTAACGTATTGTGTAAGATAAATCCCTTTTTCAAGGTTTTTTGTTGTGAAGTTTGCAAAGGACTTGCAAATTCCAATTTAGCTCCGATGACAGACGCAGAGTGGAAGAAACTGTGCATATGAATAGATTTTACATTATCCATATATTATAAAGGTTATTTTCAGCACTTTGTTTCACCCTGATGATTATTAACTTTTCATATTTGGAATATTTAGTCTTTAGTTCAGATCCATAGTAACAGTGTGTTGACAGAACATGATAATTCCAGTCTTAGCCCTAAAAAACTCCTGGTATAACGCACATGGAGACCTATTGTACATGTTTTTTTGTGGTAGGGAAAACCGGAGCACCCAGAGAAAACCTATGCAGTAAACTCCACACAGAAAGGCGTTGTCTGGATGTGGAATCAAACCCAGAACCTTCTGCTCAAGTGCTAACCCATTGTGCTGCCACTGTTTAACTCCAGCATTTGTTTGCTCCTGAGATACAGCTTTGCTTACCTGAGCCGGCTCAGTTACACAAATGAAAGAAACAGGAAGAAGGCACTAAAGCGCAAAATATGCCTTTAAACAACTTCTGACAAATGAGGAATGGGTCAGATTTCTTAAAGTACTGTAGGCGTAACCCACAAGTACCACCACTTTTATCAAGGCTGCTACTTTTATTACTGTTGTGATGACAATGAGTGATACAGTATGTGTCAGCAGGAGCAACTGTACTAAATGTTTTATGTTTTGAATCCCTGTAACTCAGACCATGACCAGGATTCCTTGTTTGGTTTCACATAATTTTCAGAACATTTTCTATTTTCATAGAATTTTACAGTTCTGCATGTTCTTGTACATAATTTAGAACCAACTCACATAAGGGTCACATAAGAGAAATGAATTGTGGGATGCCTCATGGCTCTGGGCTGCTGGTTCGGAGCAATGAAAGGAGGCCTTCTCCTGGCTCCTCCCTAAGTGCACTCTTTGGACAGTATTTATCATGGCTCATGATGCACGTCCCAGAAAATCTGGTACCAAGAAGGTCCTGGGTTCAAATATCAGTCGGCACTCAGCCATTGTGCGTGATGCCTGCCTTTTTCCAAATGTTGGGTTAAACATTTCAAACTTTAAACTGAAGTCAAATAGACCTATTGGGTTGCCAACCTGCGTAGTAGTAGTTAATTTGTGAATTTGCTGCACATGTAACAACGTATCATTCTCAGTTTGATTCTTTACATTGTACTTGAAAATTATGATAATTTTTATCTTTTTTTTTATTTGATTCAAAAATGTAAAAAAATAATCTTGTGCTATTTCTCAAGCCTGGTTGCCAGTCACTCATAATGAATTTAGTCATTCTATAGTTTCTAGTTTGTAGAACACCGGTAAAAGTGTTGTTCTGGTATAATTATTAAAGAATCACTTAAAGGTACACAAAAAAGTAGTAAAAAATGTTGTCTTTTGCAAATCCATGTCTGAAGCTGCCAAGACAGAAGTTCTCTGAGTTTGCACAGTCTGCACAAACACCTGCACTGGGAGAGAAACCCCCTCAAAGCCGTGAGGACGGTGTGAACACTGCCTGCGCTCATCCTGATGTATTGTTGACATGTTGTCATGGAAACATGTGCTGCTCCTACAAAGTGCGGGAGCGTTGCTTGAAATCTGAAATATTCTTAAAGTGACTTTTAAAGGACACAGTTCAATTATAATTTGAAAATTGTTTCACACATTGAATTCAGCCAAATCCCAGTTTTAGCAATTTGAAATGTATAATATTACTTCCTTGCATGTTGCCTAGCAACTAGACATTAAACGGACCCGAAACTTTTCCAATGTCCTCAAAAAAGGTAATCAGACATATTAAATGACAATATTTTATGTTTATATTATGAATGAATCAATAGTTTCATAAACATGTGTTTTTAAAATATCACACCTAACTTTAGTATTAGTTCTGTACATGTGATGTCATCACTTTAGAACACGGCTCTATATCCTGAAAATATGTAATATATATTTTAATCAGGTGCCATTACATCAAAATAAGTACATAAAAAAACAATCTGCCCTGTGAATTTTAACAGTCTGTTGGAGAAATAAAAGCGAAAGAACTAGTTCTATAAGCGGTTGAGGGGTTTGATGTAAAGAAGGTTTCTATTTGAAATGAGGCTGCTGTAGTAATGAGGACATTCCAGTTCCTCAGCCTGGGTGGAATTTGAATAGTACAGACGAACCGCCTGGCGCCCATTGGACAACCACGGAATAGTTTCTGGATACATGCTTGTCGCTCAAGAGAGAGCTGTCACATGATTGGCTGGCGCTTAATAAGGCGGGGCATTGCCCCCAGTATAAAAATACCCGGCTTGAAGCCAACTACAAATGATCGCTTGCTCTGTAAGGAAAGCGGATCATGTCATCCAATGTTTCTCAACAGACCTGACTTAAACTTGTCTTCTCACACAAAACGTGTCCCTCTGAGATAGGTCAGAGTGGGTCCCTATAATGATTCACACTATGGAGTGCGTAGCAGACGCACAGAGCCTAATCTCAATTTCTCTTATGAAGATCCACAACTCCCGAACCCAGAGAGGGGGAATCAAACTGCACAAGAACCTGCTGGTGTCTTATGTTCTAAGGAACGCCAGACAGGTCTACATTAAGGAAAAGTACGCCGAGATCTACAGAATGCAACAGTACGAGGAGGTGATGACAGTTTGCAACGAGATACAAGAGCTCAACCCGCTGGATCTGGACGCGGAGGACGCGGAGGAGGAGAGAGCTGCGTGCTGTGGAGAGGACTTCCAGAGAGGCAAGGAGCAGGAGCCCGCGTACTACCGGAGCTGCTGCATGGAGGCTCCTTCCCCCTGCGACCAGCTCTCCGTCAACATCAACACACACTGTAACACAACTACGGTCCTAGATCTGGACACGCACGTTGTGACCACGGTGGACAACGGGTACATCCACCAAGACTGTTGCTGCGACACGTTCCAGTGTGCGCCGAGCGCACAGTCCTCCGCGAAGAAGAGGAAGATGGACTTCTCCTACTGTACGTCTGATTTTGATGAACTGCAAGACTTTACTACAACCAGAAAGAGACTGAGGCGAGAAGACTGTCTATACTCGTGTCAGGAATTTACAGAAACTTCCAACATCTCCACTTTAATATCCATCTTCGGGTCGGGGTTCTCTGGACTGCTGAGCAGACAGGCGGACTTGGAGCAGATCTGTAGCAAGCAGGCACTGGCGGGTCTCGGCGCATGGACGCGGGCGATAGTGGCATTTTGAACACTTTACACTTGTGGGGACATGGTTCAGTTGTAACCCTCTATATTCTTACAATGTGAAAACAACTGTCCACAGCCTTAAGGTCACTGATCTATTATCAGTAGACTGCATCTTTATAGCTGCTGCTACTTCATTGAAGTAGCCACGTTAAGAGTGTTTTGTGGCACTTTATTTGTGCAGCTGTTATAGAATGTTCTCAAACGCGTATAGTGAACATGCATGGCATAAAGGCACAACGTTCTTTAACAGCGTAACCAGGTAAATGAACGCACAAATCTGGGTTGTTGCTCAGAGCAAGCACTTGCTATAGGTTTGCTGTAAACATGTAGTTTGGAGTGCTTTGAATCTGTTAAAGTCGTGTCTCATGTGCATTGATGTATTTTGTATTCAGGTTACTTGGTGTGACATCACTTTTCTTGATTCGCAGCACTGGAGGACGTGGGGCGTTACAACTGAGCCTATCTCTGAGCTAACTTTAAATCAGAATTTGTTTATTTTTTCAGAATATATTGCTATTTAAAATAAGCCGTTTAAAGACAATTGTATGTTATTTGTGGAGATCCCTGTTTACATGTAGGCCGAATACACTTAAAGGAGATGGAGGGGATGGAGAAGTTGCCTTAATATTACTGCACACTACAGCTAGCTATTGTCATGAATTGAAAGTACAATGAAAGTGACTGAATGTCTTGTTTGCTCCTGTTCTTTGGGAGTATTGCACATTCAAAACTGTTGGTTTATAAATCTTTCCCTGCTAAAACACTAAATAACAAACTGGATTCATGATCATTGAACCTGTGTATTTTCTGTTCACATGGTTATCACTATGCCTCCCAGTATTCACTGTCTCAACATGTGTGACTTTGTTTTGAAATCGTCCTTTTGTTTTAAAAAGGTAATCTCAAAATGTAGCCATACTCCAGAGATCCATGCATTAGCTTTATGAGCACCATGTGTACCAAAATAAAGAGAGTATTCAGCCATTCTCTATATACTTGTTATTCATATATTTTTGTGCCCAATAAATTGTATATCACCGGGTAAAACTGTTGCTGAAAATAATTTGTTAAGAATTTATAATCTAAATAAAAAATCAACATCTAAGAACTGTGTATCTCTTAAAGTTGTTTTAGTTATTAATGATTTATTGAACAATTTGGGGTATTTAAAGGAACATAGACAATAATGAAACCTTCTGACGAATAAAGGTTTTGTAGTAACAGGTTAATAAAAAATGTGAGGCAAATGAGTATTTAGGTGCTGGCTTACTATTAGTGAGCAGCCTATTCTATAGTGAGATAGAATTATGTAAAGGTTAGCTCATAAAAACCATACTTAAAGTTTGATTTCATGTTAATTTCTATGTTCCCACAATGGAGCGGAGTCTGTTTCATCAATGGGACATGCATTGAATGAAGTGTTTTGACTTTCCACCACCTCCACACGCTCACATCTCCTCCCCCAAACTTCAGTGGTGTTATCTCTGCTCCGTGCCACTTGGTGGTGTTCTTTAAAATCAATGAATGAAGATATGTGGAGAGCAGAGCCCCCTCAGACTGCCCCCTCTCTGTGTGTCCCATGAAGCTCACACAGTACACAGAACATCCACAATCACTGCGGCACTGTAGGCCAACCTTTTCAGGCTTCAGTACTTTGGATCCTTTTTGCATTTTGGGTACATTCATAAGGAATAGCTCATGCTCTGGAGCTGGTACTTTCCGTTCAGAACTGGAGCCAGCTTATGCTACAATGACTTTCTTTTTACAATAAAAATTCAATTCTTATTTTTATTTACTTATTTTAGACCTCAGTGTAAACCAGCATTTACATCTGTGGAATGTGTTACAATAGCCAGTTAGATGACACAAACAAAATAGTCACAATTGCAATTTGTTAAAGTAATTTTTTGTTGGACCAATTGTATAGAGTGCCACTTTCAGCAATACACTATTAAGCAATAGTGTGCAATACAATTAAAACCTGGGGAACTGGGCTGTTTCTCTGTTTAAATAGGGACTAGTTCCTGGTACTGGATGTCGTCACATGCAGCACAACTACATAATTCTCAAGTGCTATATTAGAAAAAAAAAACTGTGCTTCTATGAAACAGTGACTCCATCAGGACAGAAACAGTACAACCTCCACAGACAATAGGTCGGTATCATGGTGAATACACAGCTCCTCCATCTGGACTGAGAAAGACTGACACCCAATAAAACACAAGGGCTGAGGGTCTCTGACAAACAGTCAATATTATATTTATAAAAGTGTGTGTGTGATATTATATACATAATATATATGTTATGCATAATATATAACATTACACAGTTGTTACAGATACTTACTAAGCGCTCATGTGAAGGTAAAGAAGTAGAGACACAATAAAATACAAGGGCTGAGAACAACAGTCAGTAGTGTGTGTGTGATTAATCTTTACACACATCTGTGACAACTGTGTAAAGTTAAAAAAAACACACATATATATATATATATATATATACACACACACACATATGTTTTTTTTACATTACACAGTTGTTACAGATACTACTAAGTGCTGAGGTGAAGGTAAAGAAGTAGAGACAATAAAATACAAGTTCCCAGGTTTAAAGTTTATACTTTTACAAAGCATTTGCTTGTTGTGGGCCCACCTGATTCCGTATAAAGGACAATGCCAGGTGGTTGTGTTGGGGCAGAGCTGGAGGGGGCCGGGCGGGGGGGGTCAGGCGGGGTGGGGGATGGAGGCGTGCTTTGTCAGGAGCAGCTTGATGTGTGGGGGGTTGCAGCAGCAGAAGGAGGGGGGCTCTGCACATGTGACAGCATGGAGTCTGTGAGGGGGAGGCCACAGGGAATAGGTGCTGTGTGGTTTGGGGAGGGGGTAGTCGCACTGTGGCAGCAGAGAGCACATGGGTCAGCCAGGTTGTGGAAGGGTTCCTGAGGGAGGGCTGCTCCAGTCCTGTCTGATGTTGGGGCCGACTGAGCTCCATAGGTTAGAACCAGGACAAAGACCAACTGGCTCTGGTTCAAAAAATAAAGTTAGACCTTTTCTATACACACAATATTAGTTTTCATATTAACCAAACTCCTTCACGACCACTGAAGCTTGTGTTGAACACGTTGAAGATAAAGAACACAACTTTTATGACAACATGGGGATAGATAAGTACATGAGTGTATATATATATATATATATAAAGTCATACTATGTATGATAAAATAAAACATGTAAGCTATAAAAATGAGTAGACTATGAAAGACAAGCTTGAGTAATGTACATGAATTTTTAGTTGCCAAACATTTCACCTGCTTAAATCAATAAAAAACTAGGGCTTCTCTATAGAAAAGGCCACTTATCTGCCACATGAAGTGTAGTATATATGACTGTAGTGTTTGTTAATGGACAAGTCAGGGATTTCCCAAAACAATTAGATTTTATATATATTCTTTATATACTCAAACTGAAAATGATGATTGATCAACCTGGTCGAAAAAGGTTTTTATTGAATTTTGTATCTAAATAATAAAAAGCATAAATGCATTGATATTTATGGCTTATAAGTTCCCCCCACGTTGAGATACTGAACTGCTGTTTACGGAGTGAACCTCGTCATCTATAAATGGCGGAACTAGGTCACCATCTTATTTTTCAGATATGTGACAGAATGAGTCGCTCATTTGCATTGAATAGTACAAACAAACGAGGTCACTCCTTCAGCGCGACAGAGGGAGGAGCAAACATCACATTTATAATAGAAAAGCATTTTGACGTTATATTGACACATCCTCTGTGTACACCCTACTTCATTTAAGAATAGAATTCTTAAACCAATAAATAAGACAACATTTCCATTTTTATTCATGAGCTAGATAATATAGATACAGTAGATGTAGTTTGTGTCTTAATAGTCTGCCATGTAAATAATAATAATAATAATAATGTTATTTTCATTCCAGATAACAATAGTCAGGCATACAAACAGCAGTGTGGTGTTTGTATATTGGGCAGAAAAACCTTTAGTTAGTTCATTTTTGTTTCAGTTGCAACAGTAGGATAATCTGTTGAATTCACCTTTAACTGTATGTGGAGCGGTGAGAACGCCTCCAGCTGCATCTTATTTGAGCAACTGCCTTCACTGAAGTCACAAGCACAAACACGTCCTCACACGTTTACACAGATCCTCCGTGGCTCACATTCCTCTATATCAAGAAGTACGGGAAATCCACTGGTTTATATGGGGAACGATTTTGATTCTGACAACTTACATGCTTATTTATTATTACAGCAAATGTTTATCAAAATACCACTTCTAGAGCCTGTGGGATCACTGGAGATTATGGACAAGCACACATCTATCTGGCAGTTCTTGTATTGAAGTTGATTTGAACCCAGAGTCCCAGTGTTTGGTGCTAAACAGACGTCCTGCTCAGTGTATACAGCTGCTGCGCCATGAACACAGTTGCTTGTAGCCCGCTTCTTCCACTCCTGGCAGTGCGCTCATGCAGGGGGATTTCCACCTCTATCATTAAACTGAGCGACTGTTGCACATTGTTTCTGTGGCGAAGCTCTACATGACTGGGATTTCCCCTCCTCTGGTAATGACATTTGTTTGAATCTTTGGTCCAAGCAGCAAAGCACATAAGGAGTCATGGCACACGTAATGTTCAATCTTTTCACCTGTATTTTCCACCTATAGAAACATTAAGGAAAATTTAACAGCACTTATGTTAACTTCTGTGAATGGGTATTGTTAATTGCCTACATGTTTAAAACACAAGTGATCAATTGATTAAACAGTAAACTGATGTTTTTTATCGCAATACATTTATTAAATTACATTTGGCAATATAACAACATTATAATTAAGCAAAGGAGTGACTCAGAAAAGCAATGACTGAGGATGAATCTAATTGTTTTGCTTCCGTTGTATGATGTAAAAACGATGCCAATACTTTCGTGTACAGTTCGGTTTGTGCTTGAAAGATCACCATCCCAGGAATTTATTATTTCAACAATATTTTGGAGATAATGAATGAGAACACAAAAACTTATTTTTTTCAAATATTGTTGTGTGGTAGTGTGAAGGCATTTTCATTTGTTTTCCATTTTAAATTTGTAATATCATTGAGCTGCTTTAGAGAGATCTCAAATATGCAAGGCAGCACAGGAATTTACAGGCACTGGAGGCTTTTTGCCACAAAAAAAAAAGTGAAGACCGACTCTCAGAAGGGATCCACACCTACCAAAACAACTCTAAGCTGTCATAGATGTTAAAGAAGCAATAAATGGTGTTGATAACAGGGGGATGGAGATTTTTGATCAGGGTCAGAAAAAAAGTCTCCTGTATCATTATAATGTTTTGACAATAAATAGGTTTCACACAAAGTGATTGCATTATCATTCATAATTTCCAACATATGGCAAAAATATTTTCTAATTATCTGCTTGGATGCATAAACTTTCAATCACAACTGCATGACAAACAGACTAAAGAAGAACAAAATCTAAAATGTTTCTGCACTATCTCAACCTCGGCATTTATCCGATAACATTTTGTGAATTACAAATTCAAATCATGTACACAACAGGACAGAATTATTGAAAACAATATTTTCATTCAAATCCAGACTCACACAAAATACTGAAAGAATAGCATAAAAATATGAAAATGCTCAGAGGCATGCCTGAGTCAGATCGTACATGACATTTTACATCAGTTTTGCTTATCGTTTACTTGTGGGGAAAATAAAATAGATTTGTTTATCACTGACTTTGGTCAAATTAAATCCATGGCATTATCACGAACAGTGTCAAGGCTTCACAGGCTTGATGGAGAGCAGGCTACCAAATTTGAAGTGTTGAATCACAGGGAACTTCTCCAGACACTAAAAAGAAACATAACAGAAATAATTATTTATAACTATATGTTTATTACTATATTTATAAATTATGTATCTACATAACCACTAATTCTGCAATAATGGCTGCATTAGAGCCGGATTGTGCTTTATATACAAAAACAGACAGTTTTGGGGTGGCTGCAGTGGGGTTTGGGGCACTGAAGAAAGGGGGGGTGGACCACGTTGAAATTGAACTCTGATTCTCAGACTGTCTGCACAGCGAACCGATCACTCGTGATCATCTAGAACTGGGGTGAAAACACCTATATGCAATACAAACCAAGACAGTTTCACTCCACTAAAACACACTGTCCCAGCTAAATTAAACTTTAACATAAAAGAAAAAATGTCTGAAAATGAGACTGGAAAATAGAACGTCTGCTAATCCAATGCACATTTAGTCACAACAGTCTGTGGATCATGAAGGACTACACATGTTTCCAATATCTTCCAACCCAACACTGAAAATCCACACATTACAGGATTGTGTAGCATACCAAAAACGTAGTGTAAAGCGAATAGCTTCCAATCCTTGGGTCTCTTGCCCCTGATAGCATTTGAAAATGACAAAATGCATAAAAACTTTTGTCATGGTCCATAAACAGGAGTCACTCCATCAGGAAGAGTTGGTCACAACGTGTGCTGCCACTGCTTTACTACAGCAGGGTTCCCAAACCTTTGCACAAGGACTCCCATATTAAGCACAAACCTAATTTGCAACTCAGAACAAAATTTAAAGCATCAAATTATGTTACTGTGAATAATGTATCATGCCATCTCACCAGATTTCTGTTAAAAATAGTGTTTATCAAATTAATTTACTTAAAGTGATGGTCTGGAGTTTGTCAGAAAGAGAGAGAGAGAGGTACTTGATTTGATAAAAACGACGCAAGCACCCTCCCCCTTCCTTTCTGATTGGTCTACACCTACGTTTCCATAACACTTTTAAATGTTAATCGGAGAACAGATTATACATATACATTATTAATACACATGCACGGAGGTTTTCAGAATTATTTGTTAAAGTTTTCATGAAAAAAATGTTTTAATGCACACAAAAAACGATCGCGGCAAACCCCGGAAGTAGCTATTACCATGAATTGAACATTATAGGACACATCTGATCTGATTATGGATCTGATTATGGATATAGGTTCAGTATATAAATGATTATGGATATAGGTTCAGTATATAAATGATTATGGATATAGGTTCAGTATATAAATGATTATGGATATAGGTTCAGTATATAAATGATTATGGATATAGGTTCAGTATATCAATGATTATGGATATAGGTTCAGTATATAAATGATTATGGATATAGGTTCAGTATATAAATGATTATGGATATAGGTTCAGTATATAAATGATTATGGATATAGGTTCAGTATATAAATGATTATGGATATAGGTTCAGTATATAAATGATTATGGATATAGGTTCAGTATATAAATGATTATGGATATAGGTTCAGTATATAAATGATTATGGATATAGGTTCAGTATATACATAAGTAACTCAGCGCGGATGTTCAGAATTCTTTCAGTTTTCATGTAGTTTCAGAGCCTAATAGAGGCTTGATTCGGAGGCTTCGCGAAAACAAACAACTGAGCATGAGCAGCTGCGAGCATCAGCGCAATGATTGACAGCCCTTGGCATGACTCGATTGGTTAACGTGGACGGCATCGTGGATTCTGAACTATAGCTAAGAGAAGGGAAGGCGGGACTTACCTGTAATATTAGAATTAATAAAATGACTTATTTTATGTCAACATTTAAGGCCAGGAGGTCAATTTAACACATTTCCTAAAATGTGTAATTCATTTAGAGTTACAGACTTTAATAGAATATCATAACCATTAATTTACTTCCTGCGACCCCCTCTTAGGCAGAGAGTAAAGAGTTTATGTCCATAACAACATAGCACCTAGGGACCTTTTATAATTAACACCACCATCAGCCTGTTTCTGTCCGAGCGGCACATCTTATTATTCCACTGTCGCAATGAGCAGAGCCTAATTAATAGTGATACTTGTTTTTCTATGTATACAGAACTATCCTTCCCTTGTGCATGACACCATCAGAACGGCTTGTGCTGTCTGCTCACTGCAACAGTCATTCTAACATCAGGCACAAGTCAGAGCAAGTTCTTTCTAAACAGTCACCGGGAAATGATTCCTGTACGAGCCAACACAACTACAAACAGAATAAGAGCATCTTTAGAATGACAACAGTTTGCATCATGTTGTGCTTTTGTCTGTGACGCGACAGTGGTTCCAAACCTGCTGCTTGTGTCCCATGAACTTTTCCCGGGAACTACACAAACACCAGTTACTTTAATCGAATCAAATCGTTCAAAACACTGGATCTATCAATTACTCCAAAACATTCCATAAAATTCCAAACTATATGTCTACATTTTATTCTATTCTAATCTGGGAAACACTGACCAATGAGACCAATAGACATGTAAATATATTAAAAGAAAGCACATCCACAAAAACCTTAAATTACAGCTACATCTTTTCTCCAGACACAATGTACAAATAGCATTTTTTCAACATTTCGATATAAAAATTTAATTTTTTGTCAAGAATCAACAACAAGTGGGACACAATCGTGAAGTGGAACGAAATTTATTGGATAATTTAAACTTTTTTAACAAATAAAAACTGAAAAGTGGGGCGTGCAATATTATTCAGCCCCCTTGCGCTAATACTTTGTAGCGCCACCTTTTGCTGCAATTACAGCTGCAAGTCGCTTGGGGTATGTTTCTATCAGTTTCGCACATTGAGAGACTGGAATTCTTGCCCATTCTTCCTTGCAAAACAGCTCGAGCTCAGTGAGGTTGGATGGAGAGCGTTTGTGAACAGCAGTCTTCAGCTCTTTCCACAGATTCTCGATTGGATTCAGGTCTGGACTTTGACTTGGCCATTCTAACACCTGGATACGTCTATTTGAGCACCATTCCATTGTAGATTTGGCTTTATGTTTTGGATCATTGTCCTGTTGGAAGATAAATCTCTGTCCCAGTCTCAGGTCTTTTGCAGACTACAACAGGTTTTCTTCCAGAAAGGTCCTGTATTCGGCTCCATCCATCTTCCCATCAATTTTAGCCATCTTCCCTGTCCCTGCTGAAGAAAAGCAGGCCCAAACCATGATGCTGCCACCACCATGTTTGACAGTGGGGATGGTGTGTTCAGGGTGATGAGCTGTGTTGCTTTTATGCCAAACATATCGTTTTGCATTGTGGCCAAAAAGTTTGATTTTGGTTTCATCTGACCAGAGCACCTTCTTCCACATGTTTGGTGTGTCTCCCAGGTGGCTTGTGGCAAACTTTAAACAAGACTTTTTATGGATATCTTTGAGAAATGGCTTTCTTCTTGCCACTCTTCCATAAAGGCCAGATTTGTGCAGTGCATGACTGATTATTGTCCTATGGAGAGACTCTCCCACCTCAGCTGTAGTTATCTGCAGTTCATTCAGAGTGATCATGGGCCTCTTGGCGGCATCTCTGATCAGTCTTCTCCTTGTTTGAGATGAAAGTTTGGAGGGACGGCCGGGTCTTGGTAGATTTGCAGTGGTCTGATACTCCTTCCATTTCAATATAATTGCTTGCACAGTGCTCCTTGAGATGTTTAAAGCTTGGGAAATCTTTTTGTATCCAAATCCGGCTTTAAACTTCTTCACAACAGTATCTCGGACCTGCCTGGTGTGTTCCTTTGTCTTCGTGGTTCTCTCTGCGCTTTTAACAGAACCCTGAGACTATCAAAGAGCAGGTGCATTTATACGGAGACTTGATTACACACAGGTGCATTCTATTTATCATCATCAGTCATTTAGGACAACATTGGATCATTCAAAGATCCTCACTGAACTTCTGGAGTGAGTTTTCTGCACTGAAAGTAAAGGGGCCGAATAATATTGCACGCCCCACTTTTCAGTTTTTTATTTGTTAAAAAAGTTTAAATTATCCAATAAATTTCGTTCCACTTCACGATTGTGTCCCACTTGTTGTTGATTCTTGACAAAAAATTAAAATTTTATATCTTTATGTTTGAAGCCTGAAACGTGGCGAAATGTTGAAAGTTGAAATGTTGAAAGTGCCTTGCGAATACTTTCGCAAGGCACTGTATCTAATGCAGATTTATGTTGGTCTCGTTATTTGTTTGCATTTGATATTGTGCTTCTCAAGCTGGTATCCAATCTGAAAGCAGAATTAGCTTCACATGAGTCTGCGGGTTGCCAGCTTCTTTGGTGAAAATCCAGTTGGATTGCGTGTGTGAACTAGATGCTGTTCCTGAAAAAGACGCACCGTCCTTTTACGTTATAACGTTTTTTGTGTTTTATTCCGGCACGAGGCTATAAAGTCAAGGTGTGTTGTATTAGGGAAACAAAAATGAATAAGTGAAAAAAATTATGATTTGGTTGAAGTTTTAAACATGAATTTTCACTTTTCAACAAACTAAAAATAACGTAAAGAGAGTATGAACACGTTTACGGATACGTTTTACTTGTTCTGTACTTCTCACTTTAGGGGCTGAATTCTTAGACACCGTGTTCAGGGTCCAACGCTGAAGCAGAGAAAAAGAAGGGTTCTGTTGCCTTTCTGTATGGCAAGACTCAGCCTGAACCTTGTGTGGGGCCAGCAAAGGGAGAGAGGAATGCAGAGTGCTGATGGTTGCTCCAGGCTCGGAGGAAGGTCGGGACACAGGGAGGGAGGATTTAATGAAGGGAACGGTGGAGGAGGCAGCGGGGGGAGGGAGAGGCAGACTGCTTGGCCCCTCAGCTCTTTGGGAAGACTTGCAGGCTGCTCTGGAAAACACAGGATGTGGGTATGCAGGCGGGGAGAGCGGGCTTAGACAGCCCCCCAACCCCACCCCCAGCCGCCCACACACACTATCCCATTCGCTTCATAGCTCGCTTAACCCCTTCCTGTCTCAAAACCAGTCTGTTCAGATGCACAGCTCAGATGTGCTTGGGTGCAGCGCGCTTACAGCCTGAACCTGATTTTTCACATTGCTTGTAAACCAGTGAGGGACGGAAAGCGAGTGACATATCAAACATGGCTTGGTATTAAAAATATGTTTACTAAACAACAGCCTCGTGGTGGACTTAAGTGACTTTCAAGCACAGAGGATAGAGTTACAACAAAGACAAACAAAATCTTTAGATCTAACTTGAGTAAGAAAAGATAATTTGGATTACAGAATACAGTTTAGATTATTTTGTGTTTTAAGAGACCTCTAAAATCAAATTAGACTTGTATTAACCCTCTCTAGGCAGGCGTTGCAGATTTGCAACAACTACATTTCTTTTTACCCAACTACTCCACATCCATTATTTTGGTTGGCAAAAATATCTTAATGTATTTTTGAACAACATGGTATAACTGCTCCCTCATTTATTTGATTGCACGGCCCCGTGCACCTTCCCCCTATTCCTGCACAAATCACATCATTTTAGGTAAATATTTTAAACAGTCCACAAGGTTTTGATAAAACCTTTAACCTCTTAACACCCGCCTCATTTTGCCTTGTGCACAAAAGTTGGGCATACCCAAATGTCTTTGCTTATTTAAAAACACATCTTACATGTCACATGCTTGTATGATGCATCATATTAAAGCTAGAGCCTTCTAGTTTATGTAAATATACACTAAAATAATATTTGTCATTCCTATTTTACTCTGCATACTTTGAAGTTTGGGAAAAAAAAAACTCATACCGACACAAATAAACACAGTACACCCATGTCCCACCCATTGCTAGAAAGCTTTCCTTATTGGCTACACGGACATGTCAATCATTCGGAAAAAGAACACTTCCCTAGCCGTCTGACTAACAACAAATACGAAGTGACCATGTGCAAAACGCAGCCGCTTGTTTTACTAACAGAGATGTTCCGAACGAAATCGAACACGTATCTGTTGGGGAATAGTCTCATTTTGTAGCTAACGAGTTGGGGAACACACGCATACCCTGTGTGTGAGCGCTAAACAAAGCTAAAAGTCCGCTAACAGTGAAAGAGCAGCGTCTATGCTCTTTTTTTTCGCTAAAGATAAAATGCACATTTTTGGATTATTTCTCCAGAATGGATTATACTTTGGGAAATACAAGTGGATATTCTTTTTCCATGGACATTTACGGAGGGGAAGAACCATAGGAAGCCATGGAGCACAAGAGAAAAGGTAAAAAAGTGATTTATTTTGTGCCCATACTGCAAAGTTTTATGTAGTTTACACTTGTATATAAATGTAGATACAAAATGATACACAGCTTTTTAACCAGTTGTGGTATATATATTATATATATATATAAATTATATGTAAAATCGAACTCATCTTGGGTCTGAAGTTGAATTCCTAAAATGTGAACTGGTCAGGGTTCGCTGTTTTCTTAGTGGAAAGTTTGTTTGTAGGTCAACCTTGCATCCGGTTATTATTTGTTATATTTATTTATTTAAGTTTGAATATTCTTTTCTGGTACATTTTTTTGAACAAAATGACTTCAGGTTTAGGTTGAACAAGGCTCAATCCAAAAGCAATTGTTTATTTCAGCAGAACAATGGTCAAGCAAGACAACATAATCAGGAAGTCCAGCTTTGTCCTGGGATGTCCTCAGGACACAGTGCAGCAGGTGGGGGACAGGAGGGTCCTGGACAAACTGACATCTATGCTGGACCATGACTGTCACCCCCTGCAGGACACTGTCTGCTATAGAGAGCAGCATGAGCGACAGACAGATCCACCCTCACTGTGTGAAGGAGAGGTTCTGCAGGTCTTTGCTATCAGACTGTGCAACGAACAATGAGGACTAACAAACACTGCTGACCTGACCTCACATATTGTGCATCTGTGCAATAATTTGAATAATGTCAGAACATTGAACCACATTTGTCCACTTGCTTCATCATTATGCCAAAATTTGAGATTTTATTTTATAGTATAGAGTTGTTGTTAATATAACACTAACATTTCTCCACTGTGGGACAGATAAAGGACCTCTTAATCTTAGTTTAGTAATCAAAGAGGTTACTGCCTCATTATTGCTGGCACTTTGATTCAGGCGACAGTCTACCGAAGTACAGAAGTGATTTCTGGGACAGCTCTGACTAAACACGAGCCATAGTCTGTGATAGACAGAGTAGATAGAGTACATTTACGTTAAAAACAGACGATTCCAAACTGGTCTAACCACTTTAAGGTCTTGTCTGCAGATGGAGCCTTATGACCCTTTCAAAAGGCGTCTCGTAACCAGTGTTAGGCAAGTTACTTTGGAAAGGTAATCAGATTACTGATTCTTTGAAAAAGTAATGAGATTACTACTTTAGTTCATTTATAACCAGGAGTTACATTAGTTTGAAATTAAGGGCTTTTTTTTATTAATTGTGCATAATTACTAAAGTGACCCACATTGTAAAATGTATTACTGAGGACATGACAATGTTCACCATTAAAATACTGACAGTGTGTGAGAAAGTTATGTTGATGGAAATGATATTTTTAGTCCATGTTGTTGTTCTTGGGGTTTTACTCTATCCCCACAGTCATTTTTTGCTTATTGGATAATATCGGCCACATCACTGGACTGTCCCGAACAGACCAGCGGGCTTGGCTGGTCTGCTCTATTGGCTTTTAGCTTGAAAAAACTCATTTCTGAATTCTCCACTGCGGTAGAACTCGAACAGACTCGTTTGCACATGCGCTCACCCCACCGCAAGAAACGCTTCGTTACTCGGCCAAGTAACTTATCCGATTCACTAATTTAATATTCTCTAACGCAGAAGCACAAGTCATTGAAACTCTGAAGAGAAAAGGTAACTAAATCAAAATAAAATGAATGGAGGAACTGTACTTAAAATGAGAGAGTAATCTCTGTGCCCAAATACAGGCATTGCTTTTCCCCGAGCTCCTAAATGCATCCCAGCAGAATCTGGTTTACGTGGTAACATGCCAGCATAAACGGAGTAGAAATGGTCTGATTCATTTACACCAAACAGATTGGTTTTTCCACACCAACTCTGCTTTACATGTGTCTTGTACAATGAAATTAAACTGAACATGGTGAGTTATCTGGTTTTGACTAGTGCTTTGTGCACACGGAGAAGCAGATGATTTGAGACACTCTGATGTTAAATATGAATGTCCTTTGTTATCACATACAGAAAAGCTAATGCTGTTCCACACTGTGGTGTCAAGCCATTAATACATGAGTTTGGTTCAATGTTTAGAATCTATTAAATAATTTCATGAAAAGATAAATGTATGTATCATCAATGCTTTATGGAAGTTCATAATAAAAACTGAAAATCATTTCGAAGCCACCAAATTGTTTTGACTTCTGTCATAGAACTATGACAACAAAAAGAAAATATCAATACATATTTTTATAATTGAACAGGGAATGAATCTATGAATGCAGATAAACAGTGAGGATTGTTATGTGTGAAGTATTTGTGAAGGTCTCAATCAGTACCTCGGCTTTGTACATTTTGATCAGGCCTTGGTTGACTTTGGACCAGACGGGAACAGCACTGATGTTCCAAAGTTGATTAGAGTGCTCAGCAAATGGACCAGTCTTCATCTGTTTAAACAAAACAATCTTATGAACAAGTGTGAAAAAACTTTAGTCAACATTAAGTGAACGTTTTCATAATCGTTGGACAAATGGAAAGCACAAATGGAGCATGGAGCAGTGGAGGAGGTTGGGAAGCTCTCGCCTCTAGTACTGAGGCAGCCACCAGACGAGGGAATGTGAAAAATGCAGCTTTGTCTTCAGCTGCTGTTAACCAAGGGTATTTTCAAATGCTATTGTGCCGGGTATCCTTCTCTTCTTTAAGTCGTATTATACATATACCTTATTACATATTTACATTTATATATTGTTAAAACAATTTTTAGTATTATTTTCACAAAGATTCACATCAGCTATAATGTAACAACTAATCCTAGATTATTTTAACTAACAGCCCAAAATAAAATGATTGTTGAAACATTCCATAATGTCAATACAGAAGAACCTGGTTTGTCACCCTGTGTCACCAATAGAAGTCACTAAATCTGGTTTTAGATTCTTATTTTTTGTTGGCCTGTGAAAATGATGCCAAATAGAAAGACCCAAATGGGAGCAAACAATATAGAAAAATACAAAGAAAAACACCCAGCACTGCTTGAGTACAACAGTGACATTCAATAAATGCCTAACTTTTGCGTAAAGAGCACATTAAATGGCACACATTTAATATCATTTATTGAGACTCTCTGGGTCCGCAAAGTTTAAAACTACACACTCAGGAGGCCCCCACAGGTATCTTTGAAGAGCCCAGACAGCGGTGCAGACAAAACTTCATACATTTATGAATGTATAAATTGTGTTTTCCCACCATTTCTCCCAGGAGGAAGAGGATCCCAAAGCCAAACCCTGGGGCATCAATCTAACATCACCCTCCTTTTTCCACTCACCCCCTCATCGTGTGCAGACACTTTCCAGGGCCTGCATGAGAACACTGGGGGAAGGGCTTCAGAGAGAGGGGGGTGGAGACTGCCTGTATTCCCTGGAGGAAGGAGTGATTCACAGCAGCATGTGGGGAAGGAAGTGACTCATGTGGAGAACTGAGCGCGCACACAGACGCACACAGACGCTGTTATATCTGAATTCAAAAATAATAATAATCTATATTTTTAATTCCACGAATGAGGTTTAAGAGCCAAAATTAAATCCATGAGACAATTTAACTGCGAGCTTACAATAGGTCATTCCTGTGGAAAATCAGACTCAGACATACTGGGGATCCTGTGCATCTAGCTTGGTTGTTGATTCAGACAGAGCAAAAGTCAAGACATGGTTTTATAGTCATTGTTACATCGAAAGACGTACGTGTCACACAGAGACAGTGCACATCATAGTCAAAATAATCAGAGTCCTTGTAGAGTCCTGCACGTAGGCCATATTGCTATCTAATCCTAACACTCTCCCCTTTGATCACATAATCACATGTGATCACTCAATTTGATCAATCAATAAAGTGGAAAAATGTCTATTTTGCTCTATGTCTATTCTACATTCTCAGGAATAAAACTGTGAACACAGTAACTCTGTCTGGTTCATTCCTGACAGTTCCCAAACTCACAAAGTACTGGTACCAGGTGCCTAACACAGAAAGGTCTAGGTCTAAACTAGGTCTATAATATTACTATTTAAAAGGAGCAACTAACAAAAAGCAAACGCACAGACAGGAAACATTTGGATATGTACTTGACTTTGAAGGTATAGTCAAAATTAGGGCAGTAGATAAATATTTTTGATAAATTGTTTAAATTACTGTAGTTGGCCTATTATGGAGCGCAGAAGATTAAAGTGCAGTCAAATTCTCCATTAGAAATATAATGTTGTGGAAATGAGACCAAGGCAGCAGCAGAAAAGCTCTGCACAATTGACCTGAATTTGATCCATATTAACAATAACTTGTTAGGGGCCATGCGGTCATTTCTTACACACTCACATCTGGTGAGTAAACTGTCAATATTTGGATTTATCCAAATGGAAAGTTTTTTTTGTATAGAAAATTTCACTTCCTGATACCTAAGCTCCACCCATTTCACAGCTCCATTTAGATTATTGGATTAGTTGTTTGGAATCCGGGATTTGGGGATTTTTTTTTCTACATTTGACCAAAACAAAGTGATGCCCCTGGAAAACATCCTCTTTGAGATGACTTGTTACACATTGGGTTGTTTGATTAAAATACTTAATAAACACTTTTTGAAGTGAATATAAAATTCAGAGTCATAGGTCTCTTCTCAGCATGTTTATTTAAGGTTCAAAACATGATCAATTGATTCATTAGTTGACATTTTCTTCACTGTGGGAAGAATAAAGGATCTCTTAATCTTAATCTGACAACTGTTCAATCATCGATTCTTTGGTTGTTATGGGTTAAAAATGTTAATAATAACAATAATAATAATTCATAAAATGAGAAAACAAAAAGGCTTTACTTAAAATGTCTTTGTTCTTTAATAGAAGCACTTCAAAATTTGCGGGCGTTAACTCGCTACCGATGGACAATTGGCTCTTTTTCTTTTTAATTGGGTTTTATTGTTGTTTTTCCAGAGTTCAAACTGTTTGATTCTCTTATCTGTTAAAGGGAAATAGAGATGCGCTCAGACGACTGCTTTTGTGTTTTTGGCCAATATCAAAAATAAATGTATTTGACCCGAGAAAATATTTTTTACAATAACAAAAAGGTTCTCTCTGTGACCAACTAAACTCAACCTAAAAAGTGAAGTTTTATAAATGTTTCTTTGAAAACCATGTTTAGCCTATATATTAATACACTGAAAATAGTTGCCATGCTCCGTCAGAGGCAGCATCCTTTCGTGACCAGAAGAGGGAGGAGAAAAGCCTCTGACGAAAAAGACGGAAAGGGATGTAGATTTTAAACCGCCGCCCTCCTCTCTGTCCCTGCCCTCCTGTTCCTCTACAAACAAAGCACAGTTCCTGCTCTGGCCCCGTCCCAAAGCATCTGCCTTCACTCGTCTTCCCTTTCCTCCTTACAGTATACAGCTGTGGCCTCTTTTTGTTCATAGTTGTCAATTAATCAGACACAATCATGTTCACCCCCATTTTTCCCAATTTCTCACAAATAGTAAATTAATTGTGTTTGTACCTCGTTTATGAATTTGATGCACTCGAGAAACATGTAGTCCTGGCAGTTATCGTTGACCACCTTCTCGTCAATGAAGTGCCGAGGTTCCAAAGTTGGATGATCTAAAGTATACATGAGATAATGTTACAATAACTATATCGTAGAAATCTATTAATTCTCTCATCTTGCGCTGCTCCGACTGGTGAAACGTAGTCTATTTTACAAAGTGAACTAGACTACATTTCACCAGTCGGAGTTTGTATTTGTTCTTGCTGTTGATTAGTGACCGAAGCCATAGTTAAATAAATAAATAAATAACCAGTTTGTTAGCGATAAGGTAGAAAAAACATTTTAAGAATTTATGTTATTACCTAAAAACTGAGAGCTTCCCCAAATAAAAGGCAGAAACTGAAAATCATCCAGACCCCATACGCCTTGACTCCCGGCTGGCTCCATTCTATAGGTTTTCTGCAGCTTTCTCATTACCTGCAAATATCTTCAAAACACACACAACTGAATTTATTTTGAGTATAATGACAATGATCAATAATCGAAACGGCTGAATTTATATAAATAATAACATAAAAACATCTGTTGATACACTCACCTGTCAAACACCTTAAAAACAATAGCTAGTCGATCTTCTGCTTGAAGTGCTCCAACTTTACAAAGACAGCAAAGAAAGGCTGCAAAGGCTGCTTCATGACCTGCATCGTTCAAAACAACAAGGTTATACAAAAGTGTAAACATTTTGATACATTTTCAATACAAAAGAAATACGTTATGTAATTAGCATCTTCTGCATTAAACTCAACGGAAAAACACTGAGAGCAGAACGGCAGCATTAAAGCGCCTTCTAGTGGTCAAACGAAATAGTGCTCATGGGAACTAGCAGTAAAACAAAGACTTAAGACAAAGAATGGAGACCTGTTCCATAGTCTATCCTGGTTTGGTTCCCCACAGACTCTTTCAGGTAAACGGCTATTTCTGGAGCTGCAGCTTGCTGGTCGTCTGGGAGCACAGCAGCGACCAGTTCCTCTGCATTCTGAAAGAACCAGTGTAATGGGTAATAGACACAGAACAGCCAGAGGAGAGAGTAAATAGCCTTTGCTAATCACCTTGTCTAGTTTGGAAAACCAGGTCCTGAAGGCCTGATTACCAAACCTGGAAGGCTGATCGACTGGAGGAGTTTCATCAATCCATCTGTCCAGAGTATCTAGCAGTTCAACTAACTTTTCCACTGTCTGTCATACAGAATAATAGTAATGACAACTTAATTTATGTCAACAATACAGTATCAAGGTATTTTGATAATCTAATTATTAACCATTCATAACTATTAACCCTTGATCAACTTACCCTTGATATTGTATATTCACATGTGAGTTTCTTTCCCTTCACACCTTCATTCAGTGTTAAGACGAAGCCCATATAGTCAGCATATGCCTGAAAATACAATACACATGAAACACTATTGAATATTCATGCTTTATATGTATTATATATGCTCTTGCTGAGGTGTGTCATTTAATTGTGATACATAACAGATTATTACAGTATTATAAAATAGATCGCAAAATGTTTTGTGTGATACACACTTGTATTGAATAGGGTAAACATTTTTACTCAAATTACCCAAACTATGCAAATCTACAATGAATTAAATAACAATTTTGATTGTTATTTATTGATTAGTTCTGAACTAAACGCGGTGCTCGTCTCCACATGACACTGCACTGAAAAAGCAATACAGATTCAGAAACTCCTTCTTTTCTTAAAACTGTAATATATAAAATGAGAATACATCAAGGTTAAAAATTAATTTAATTCAACTTGAAATTTAATGGTTAGTTTCATGTCAGAGCTGGATCTATAATTGATAAATAGAACATTTGAAAGTTTTCTAGATTGCGATTACCAACACCTGAATGAAAGAAAGACACCAATGTGGCAGTAAATTGAGATTGGTCAATATGAGGGAGAAATAGTGATATTGGCCTCCCTTATGTCAAAGACTGGAAAGTCAACACAGGTGAGGAGAGCTGAGTACAGTGCACTGTCCAGTACACTCAAGATCAGTTCAAATAGTTGACCAAGCATAATATCTAAATACAATTTTAATATCCACAAGGATATGGGCCATTTTAATTTAAATCAAATGAATTAAATTTGATCCTCATTTGGAACTATAGAAACAATAGCCACCTGATGGGCTATTTAAAGAATTTGCATCATAGACTGCAAACGTTAATTTGCATACATACTTGCGACCGTTTCCATTTGCCCATGTCAGGGACCATGACTATTTCATTCTTAGGAACCACAAAGTTGAAGTTTGAGACCACATCCTGAGGTTTGACGTCAGCGCTGCGCCCTGAAAACGTGCAGGCAGAATGATGCGCAATGTTAGAAATTATTGATGTTTGTTTTCTCTTCAAAATATCAACACTAATGTGCATTTCTGTCGCGCTTGAAGTTGAGATGATCCTCAGGCATTGCAATGCTGTAAACGCACATGTAATGAGTGTAGGTGACGCAGGATAACGTCATGTCATAGTTTGTTTGTAGTTTGTTTATACCTGACGGTTGATCGGTTTCCGCCATGACGGTCTGTGGTCTTCTTCCTCAGACTGAGTGACTGTGAGTGACTGTGCTGCAGTCTGACCCACACTGCCTCCTGCTGGACTCACAGTGAAATGCGCCATCAATATATCCAAAGCACAATGCTGCCCTCTAGCAAAGCGACATGCACTTAGTTTTCAAGCGAGGTTTGATCTTGTTTTTAAAAATGTATTCCTTCATGGATCCGGTCTTTGATTGGTGGTCAATATATGAAGGTTATAAAAACGTAAAATATGCGCTAATCTAGAACACCGCCTGCTGCTTACACAAATGAAATGTATGAATGTTTTCGCTGTCAGCTTGTCAAACCATGTGTCAAGCGGATAGCATGACAAAGGTTGTCAGATAGCTCAGGAAGAAATTAACCTTTCATCTGGATCCCTGGATCACGCTGTTCACACGGATTGTTCTAGCAGCAGTAGTGGGCGTTTCTTACTCAGAATGTGGGGCTTTTGGAGCAGAACTATGGTAAGAAACAACGAGAGCACATTACACTTAACTTTTATACATTTATAAAATAGCTTGTCTTAAAAAATGTGGTAAATCAATTCGTTATCGACTAGATAACATTATTCAGGATAGATCTGAGCTATCCACGCGTTTGTGTTGTTGCTCGTGTTTTCAGAGTTTTGGCTAGCTTCTGTCGCTAGCTAAAATAATGTGGGTCAAAGGTAATGGGCAGTTTATAAAACTGGACTGGTTTTTAGATTTCTACTCTATTATATTATTCTATGTGCGCTGTGACTAGTTTATTTAATCTGACATAGTATCTGAAACGCATCAAAGTAAAAATATGAATTCATTTTGTAATACACAGCAGTACAAATACTAGTACAAATGGCAGTATTCTTCATATCACATCTCATATGTACAATTTTCCTGACAAGTCGAGACTCATCCAAACTATAAAGAGAAACAGTTCAAGTTCATGCCCTGTCTCTTGTTCGTAGATGTATCTTGCAGATAAACACTTTTATTATTATATTTTGTGTCAGCTCTGAATTTCACCTCTCATTGTATGCACCAAGATTCAGACATTTGTATTCTTCCCTTGAAAACAATTTATTTGAGCACCACCAGGTTGTTAAAAACGTGACAGTCACAAAAACCATCAGGCAAACACTGTGCTTTCTCTTTGTAGGTGAAGGTGGGGATGCCCAAACCATGTTCCTTTGTGAAACCCTGCCACCTGGTGAAGCCTGTATCAGTCACTCGTATTTCTGGGCGATATTTGACCCATCAGAGGGGCTTGCCCACTCTGCCCGTGCCCCCCCTGCAGCAGACCTGTGAGCGCTATCTTTCTGCTCTTGAGCCTATAGTTAATGAAGAGGAGCTGCAGCAAACAAAGACACTTGTGGACGAGTTTCAGAAATCTGGAGGAGATGGAGAGCGGCTGCAGAGGGCTTTGGAAAAAAGAGCAGAAAACACAGACAACTGGGTAAGAGTGCTGTGACAATCAGGTGTGTCATTTTATGTGGTTGTACAATCTTGAATTCTTGATAGTAGTTTAATGTATTCTGTTAATTAGTAACCAATTTTGTACAGTCATGTAGTGTCCTTCAATGCCACCAATACCTAAATATTTGCATTGCATTATTCATCCACACAATCAGCCTCTGTGAACCCCTCACTTTTTAATATATTATTTGATGTTGTATTTGATGCAACAACTTATCTTTTTCTTGTGTAGTGGTTTAAATAAGTGTTTCCCCCTCCAGCTGTCTGAATGGTGGGTGCAGGTCGCCTACCTTGACTACCGGCTGCCAGTAGTGGTCCATTCTAGTCCTGGCTTGGTGTTGCCTCAGATGAACTTCAGTGATAAACATGGGCAAATTCTGTAAGCTTACATTATTTGTATTCAACATGTTCTATTGTATTATATCGATGTATAATAGAAATACTTTACTATCATAGATTTGCAGCCAAACTCATAGCAGGAGTCTTGGATTTCAAGTCCATGATTGACAAGTAAGTAAAATTATCCCAGATAAATGACCATGTTGGATACCTACCAAATGTTTTGCTTTAACATTTATTATACATTAATACAATGGTATAATGGAGTAGTGTACTTGTAATCATTCTGCTAGTATGATACACTATGATATTTTTGCATCAAGGCTTTACATTCTGAACACTGAACATTGTAAAGTGCTTTGGGTGACCTTGGTCTGTAAAAATGAGCTATATAGGAAAAACGAACTTTCTTACTTAATTACACCACACACATTTCTTTGCTCTTTAAATCTGGCTCTAGGGACGTGGAACGTCACCTCACTGGGGGGGAAGGAGCCCGAGCTCGTGAAGGAGGTTGAGCGATACCGAGATAGTCGGCCTCACCGGGTAGTCTGGTTGGATGCTCCACTTTTCTCGTGTTTCCCGCGGGGAGAGGCGACGAGCGGGGGTGGCCATTCTCATTGCCCCCCATCTCAGCCGCCACGTGTTGGAGTTCTCCCCGGTGAATGAGAGGGTCGCGTCCCTCCGCCTCCGGGTGGGGGACAAGTCTCTCACTGTTGTGACGGCCTACAGGCCTAACAGCAGTGCAGAGTACTCAGCCTTCTTGGAGTCCTTGGGAGGGGTACTGGACAGTGCACCGCCCGGGGACTCCGTTATTCTCCTGGGGGACTTCAACGCCCATGTGGGAAATGCCAGTGACACTTGGAGAGGGGTGATTGGGAAGAACGGCCCCCTGATCTGAACCCGAGCGGTGTTCAGTTGTTGGACTTCTGTGCTAGTCGTCACGGTTTGTCCATCACGAACACCATGTTCAAGCACAAGGGTGTCCACCAGTGCACGTGGCACCAGGACACCCTAGGCCGGAGGTCAATGATCGACTTTGTTGTCGTATCATCTGACCTTGGTTCGGGGGACTCCTGAGGCAGCTGTCCAGTACCAGCAGGCCAAGCGTGCCGCGGCCCGGGCTGTTGCAGAGGCAAAAACCCGGGACTGGGAGGAGTTCAGAGAGTCCATGGAGCATGACTATCGGTCGGCCTCGAAGAGATTCTGGCAAACCGTCCGGCGCCTCAGGAGGGGGAAGCAGTGCTTTGCCAACACCGTGTACGGTGCGGGTGGAGAGCTGCTGACCTCGACTGGGGATATTGTCGGGCGGTGGAAGGAATACTTCGAGGCTCTCCTCAATCCCCCCGTCACGTCCTCCGTCCCGGAGGCAGAGGCTGAGGATGTGTGGGGTGGATACTTCTATCTCCCTGGCAGAGGTCACCAAGGTGGTTGGCAGCCTCCATGGTGGCAAGGCGCCGGGAGTGGATGAGATCCGTCCTGACTATCTAAAGTCTCTGGATGTTGTGGGACTCTCTTGGCTGACACGTCTCTGCAACATCGCATGGTGATCGGGGGCGGTGCCAATGGAGTGGCAGACCGGGGTGGTGGTCCCTCTCTACAAGAAGGGGGATCGGAGGGCGTGTTCCAATTATCGTGGGATCACGCTCCTCAGCCTCCCTGGTAAGGTCTACTCCAAGGTACTGGAGAGGAGGCTACGGCCGATGGTCGAATCTCGGATTCAGGAGGAGCAGTGTGGTTTTAGTCCCGGTCGCGGAACACTGGACCAGCTCTATACTCTCCATCGGATACTCGAGGGTTCATGGGAGTTCGCCCAACCTGTCCACATGTGCTTTGTGGATTTGGAGAAGGCGTTCAACCGTGTTCCCCGGGGTGTCCTTTGGGGGGTTCTCCGGGAGTACGGGGTCCGGGGTCCTCTGCTGAGGGCCGTCCGGTCCCTGTATGACCGGAGCCAGAGCTGTGTTCGCATTGCCGGCAGTAAGTCAGACCCGTTCCCGATGCATGTTGGCCTCCGCCAGGGCTGCCCTTTGTCCCCGGTTCTGTTCACTGTGTTTATGGACAGAATTTCTAGGCGCAGCCAGGGGCCGGAGGGGGTCCGGTTCGGGGATCTAAGGATTTCATCCCTGCTTTTTGCGGATGATGTTGTCCTCTCCAGGTGGGTGGAGAGGTCCTTCCTCAAGTGGAGGAGTTCAAGTATCTCGGGGTCTTGTTCACGAGTGAGGGAAGGATGGAACGTGAGATTGACAGGCGGATCGGTGCAGCGTGTGCAGTGATGCGGTCGCTGTATCGGACCTTCGTGGTAAAGAGGGAGCTGAGCCGAAAGGCAAAGCTCTCAATTTACCGGTCAATCTTCGTTCCCTCCCTCACCTATGGTCATGAGCTTTCGGTAATGACCGAAAGAACGAGATCGCGGATACAAGCGGTCGAAATGAGCTTCCTCCGCAGAGTGACTGGGCGCTCCCTTAGAGATAGGGTGAGGAGCTCAGTCACACGGGAGGAGCTCGGAGTAGAGCCGCTGCTTCTCCACGTCGAGAGGAACCAGTTGAGGTGGCTCGGGCATCTGTTCCGGATGCCTCCTGGACGCCTCCCTGGGGAGGTGTTCCGGGCACGTCCCTCCGGGAGGAGGCCCCGGGGAAGACCCGGGACACGCTGGAGGGACTATGTCTCTCAGCTGGCCTGGGAACGCCTTTGGGTCCCCCCGGACGAGCTGGAGGAAGTGTGTGTGGATAGGGAAGTCTGGGCGTCTCTGCTTAGACTGCTGCCCCCGCGACCCGGCAACGGATGAAGCGGAAGAAAATGGATGGATGGATGGACATTTCTTTGCTAAAATCAAGGACCCTTCACATACCATATCCAACAGCGTTCTCAGGCCAATTGCATTTGTTTAGCACATTAAAAATAATTTGACAAAATGTATTAAACCTGCATATTACTTACTATTTAATTGCAGTGAGCGCAGAGATTATCATCCACCTGCCCCACAACAACTTGTGTTAGCTACAGACAGATTTATTTTTTGTCCTAAAAGAGCAGCCTGATTAACCCTGCACACTCTGTGTGAGTATCCATGGCGATGTGGTCACTCACAGGAACAACTGCAATGTGTAAAGTGTAGGAATCGGAAAGCGAAATCCAAATGGAGTGGATTGAAATCATACTTTGGTCTATAGAGCACTTACATAAAGATGTATAATACAATGTTCAATTAAAGTGAATATAATCACAAAGCTGAAGAGATGCCAAAGTTAAAAGCTTATTTGGCTAAATGATAGAAAAATTACATTTTGGAATACATATAATGTGATTGGTATCAGAAGTGGGTGTAATTTTGCCAGAATTATTTCAATTTATAAAATGTCTTCAAATTATGTAATGTTTGTTTAAAGGCCTTTATTACTTAACATGTTATTTTACTTTTAAAAACAGAAATTATGTTTACGTTTAAGGTATTTATTTTTCACATCACATTGGGACTTAGTCCTCAGCAATGTCGCAAAAATATCCCATAGTAACAAAAAAAGCTGTTTTATCCTTTTTCTGTGTTTTTTTAACAGTGAGACGCTGCCTGTGGAATACATGGGAGAGAAGCCTCTGTGTATGAACCAGTATTATCAAGTGCTATCGTCCTGTCGCATTCCTGGCCTCAAGAGGGATTCAATTGTGAACCACGCCAGGAGATCCTCACCACCAAAACACATCACAGTCATCCACAACTGTCAGGTAGAGACTGGAGATGTTAGAATAAAGAAAACAGATGCAAGCATAACATTGTTTTTGGACAGTTCTTTGTTCTAGACGTTTACAACAATGATGAGAGTCCGCTGACCGTCGAGCAGCTCTTTGGCCACTTGAAGCACATCTGCACCTCCTCACAGCATCCCGACCCTGATCCAGTCGGAATTCTCACAACTCTAGACAGGGATTCATGGGGCAAGACCTACCAGAACCTCATCAAGGGTAGGCTTGTGGCCAGTGGCGGAGCCAGAGGGGTAGCCAGGGTGGCCACTGCCACCTCTAAAAATATCCTTGCCACCCCCAGTGCCCCCCTCGGAAGACGGCAATGTAATAATGTTAATCTTGAGAATCTTCCGCACTTTTTCCGCCAAAAACTAAAAATTCCCACGGTTTCCCCCGTCTATGAACGCACCCTGACTCCGTGTGGAGCCGGTGCTGTATGCTAATGTTTTGGGTTGTTGGACTCACATGTGCCCAAGTGGCGATGAAAACAAAGAGGTAAGTTAGCGATGCAGAGCCAACCGTTTACATTTGACACAAAATATAGACACACGTACTGCAGCGCATTACTTGTTCAGTTTGTAGTACTTTTAGTGTGTGTATGTGTGTGTGTGTGTGTGTGTGTGTGTGTGTGTGTGTGCGTGTGCGTGCCTGTGTGTGCCTGTGTGTGCCAGTGTGTGCCAGTGTGGGTCTGCGTGCCTGTGTACGTGTGTGCGTGCCTGTGTGTGCCAGTGTTTGTGTGCGTGCCTGTGTGCGTGCGAGTGTGCATGCGTGTGTATTTTCCATTATTAATTGCCCATCGTATCATTGCCCTCTTCCCTTTAGTGTAAACATGAAAAGAAAAGGAGGAAACATTGCCTACAGGTCTTTTTTTGTTAGGAAAAGTCCTGTAGATCAGGATGATGAAACCTGAAGGTCAGACTTGGAGGCAGTATGTTTTGAGATGATGAGGAATTTGTTGTGTTGTATTAAAATATAGCTTATATAATTGAGTTTCAGAGAATGAGAGGGTGTCGCAGACAATTGCAGGATTGTCTATTGGCAGAAGGTGTTTTTTCACACACAAAAAAAGAAAAAAAATAGCTAATGAATGATGTGCAGTCGCTTGACCCCCAAAATATTTTTGAAAGCAGAGCCCCTGTTTTCATTTGGCAGAACCTTTGAGTCAGATATAGAGGACCTTAAGCATGAGTTACGTCAAACTAGGCGGCTTCTTGGGAGGAAAAAATGGATTAGAGAGTCCCTATTGGACTTCCTTGTCCTTTTGGAACGTTTGGAAAGTGTTTCATGAGCTTTTGAGGCTTGCAAAGATCTTTTTAATACCTGTCAGTACTGCGTCTTGTGAAATAAGTTTCTCTGCCCTAAAACTTTTAAAAAACCATTTCAGAACTACCATGGCAGATGATAGTCGTCTTGGTATCCTCAGTGTAGGATAAAGGAGGGCTCAGGGCTCAATATGGATGAGTTTGTCAACATCTTTGCTGCTTTACACCAGAACCGCAGGAATTTGCTAAATTTGTTAAAAGAAAAATGAAATGCAATGTTTAAATGATGTCATTTTGCACTTTTTTGTTCAGACTACTGTTTAAATACTCTTTTTTGCTTTGTAGTTTCCAAGTGTGCTCTCAGTTCACTTTATATTAAAAATAATGACAAGATTAAGATTAAAATGTATCGTTTAGCCAGTTTTTGTGTGAAATAAAATTTCGGAATAGTATAAATGTGGACCCCTTAAAAAAAACCTTGCCACCCCCTGGCCACCCTCTGTTTAAAAGTCTGGCTCCGCCACTGCATGTGGCTATAAGAGGTCCAACACTGTATAATTCTACAGAACTATCACAAAAAACTATAATATTGACACTGAAGCAGCAGGTTTGTGCTATAAAACCTTTTATTAAAGAAGAGCGGTGCAACCTTCTCTTTTCTAAAGTTCAATACCTCTCTGATACCACCCTCTGATCTGACATTTCCTTACCAGTTAACTTGCATTGAAATAGCGGAAGGGATACTAATAAAAACTTGGTGGTCAGTGGTCACTAAAGACTGTTTTTATTGCACAGATAAAACGAACAGCGATTCTGTGTCAGCGATTCAGAGGAGCATTTTCACGTTGTGTTTGGACGGAGCGATGCCGCGGGTCGCAGAGGACAGGAGTTCTGCTGCAGTCCAAATGCTGCACGGTGGAGGCAGTCAGTGGAACAGCGCCAACCGGTGGTTTGACAAGACTCTGCAGGTGTGCAATAGAAGAGAAAATGATTTATTTACTCAACAAACAGACCCTCGTGTCACTGAAACAACTCGTTGTTCCTCCTAATTCTTGTATTATTTTTTAAATATTCTAGTTTATTATTGGAGAAGATGGAACATGTGGCGCAAACTATGAGCATGCTCCTGCAGAGGGTCCTCCCATCGTGGCCTTGATTGACCACGTTGTTGAATATACGTAAGTATTAGTGTTAAACTAATGTAAACGTGATTTTACATTTTTTTTAAACTGATCTAATATTAATGATGCAAAGTTTTATTACTGGCTTTCACAAGCTACAAGCTAATCTACAAGTGATTGTTTGTGATGGTGACAGAAGGAGATCAGAGATTGGACAAGCTCCCGTCCTCACATCGTCTGCAGTGCCACAGAAATTACATTTTAACGTCAGTCCTGAAATGAAAAAGGACATTGATGAAGCCAAGCACGCAATGAACAAGTGAGTTTGTTTGGTCTGTTCTTGTTTTTCACTCCAAGTAAAATATTAAATTTACTTTTATTATTAAAATGTTTTCCTCCTGTTATGTATAATCTTTCCCACAGATTAGCTCAAGACTTGGAAATGAAAGTTGTTGTGTTCGAACATTTTGGAAAAAATATTCCAAAGACCTACAGAATGAGCCCTGATGCCTTCATACAGGTTGCCCTACAGCTGGCCTTCTACAGGTCAGACATGACATTACACAGAACAATGTGGAGGCACAGTACTTATAGTTGTTTTGTTCAGGATGTACCAGCACAGCTGTGCCACATACGAAAGTGCCTCTTTGCGCATGTTCAGACTGGGTCGTACAGATACTATACGATCTGCTTCAAGTGCCTCTTTTAAATTTGTCAAAGCTTTTGACAATGCGTCCACACAGAATACAGAAAAAGTGGAATTGCTGGAAAAGGCTGTAAGAGCACACAAGTGGTACACGAACATGGTAAGCAGGTTTGTAACGTTGTGTTTTACAATCTAGTTTGTGGAGTGCTTTACTGTGTGCTGTGCTCTCTCAGGCCATCAGTGGACAGGCCATTGACCGACACCTTCTGGGACTGAAGATGTTGGCTCTTGAAGAACGCTCCTCTGTGCCGGCGATCTTCACTGACAAGTCTTACAGCAAAGCTTTGCACTACAGGCTGTCCACCAGTCAGGTACAACGTATTGCCCTGGTTTAATGTTTATATTATGTTTATATCTTCATTGCATTTCCCACAGGTGCCTTCAAAGACTGATTGTGTCATGTGTTTTGGACCGGTTGTGTCAAATGGATATGGCGTCTGCTACAATCCTATGGAAGACCACATCAACTTTGCGGTGTCATCATTTAACACTTGTAACGAGACAAATGCAGAGACCTTTGCACAGACTGTGAGGGGCGCCTTGTTGGACATGAGGACTCTTCTGGAGCAAACGCCCAAAGCCAAACTGTGAATCTAATGACGGGGGATCGTCCACTGTGCCATTATAGATTTACATGATGCACACATGAAAATAGTATTTGCTGTAATCAGATTTTTGATGAGATGATACATTATGCAGTTTACAAAATCTAATTTAAAATGTAAATAGAAAATGTTTTTTAATTATTTTATTAACATAATATACTTGAATTATTCTAATTCATTAATTTCTCAAGTTAAATCCATCATGTGATGTTTTTTCTTGACCAAAAAATAAATATTGGGTTTTTCTCTCATACCTTTCTTTGTACTGTTTTTCTGATGTGTTCTGAACGCATGAGTAGTACGTACATATTAGCTCCACTTTCTCTTTATCAAGTTTATTTGAATAGCAATCTGTACATAAGGCAATCCAAACAAGACATTTTAAAAACTTGCACAGCTGTAATTTAATAGTTATAATTTACACATTTATTATGAATTTTTTTTGAATAGAATGATAGCATAAAAACAGGATGAAAGTTAGTTGAATAAATTGCCCGCCATTAAAATTGATTGACAGTGATATTCCCAGTTGAATAATACCCAAATCAAGTTTAGCTTAGATTTTAATTATATACAAGACTGAATGGTCTGAAATTACATGTCTTTGTTGCAAGTAATATAAATAATTCATTAGAAGTACCTCTCAATATTTAGTTGTCAAGACAAAGAAAATATGTTTGCAAATCAATAAGGTTAGGAAAGTATTATGTAAACTTAGTTTTCACTTACTATATTTATTTTTCTTTGGAATAATTGAATTGTGCTTATGAGGTAGAAAAGAGTTAATAGTGTTACCTTTCTATATAAGTTTAGCATTATTATTTCATGGAAGTTTTTACAGATTTCAGGGAGCCAAGAGTCTTCTTCTACAAGAAATCAAAGCCCCTGGTTTGATCTCCTGTTTTGTGTGGGTTTGATTGGATCCAGTCCAACACTGCATGTACCTGTAAAGTGTTTAAAGAGTTAATGTTGCGATTGGGTGGAGCTGTGTGCGACTTGTGCCAAGACCTGATGCCACATCAGGACCATGGACAGCGACCTCTAACACCTCTGCATCACAGGTCTCTTACACACTATTTATATTATTAGTTTGGACAGCATTGTTTATTTTTGTCATAGTAATTCATTACATTTGAGTGATGGATTACAGCCATATTTCTTCAGAAGAGTTTTGCCCAGTCTGTGGTGACAGTGTGTCTGGGTATCACTATGGGCTGCTCACCTGTGAAAGCTGCAAGGTAGATAGGCCTCGTTTTTCATTCATCGTGGAATCTTGCCTCTGCTCATAACAATCTAATCTAAACATTTTTCAGGGATTCTTTAAAAGGACCGTTCAAAATAAAAAGAGGTATGTTTGTGTAGCGACCCAGCAGTGTAGGATCGACAAGGCCCAGAGGAAACGCTGTCCATTCTGCAGATTTCAGAAATGCCTTGAAGTGGGGATGCGCCTGGATGGTAAGAAGAACATGTCTATTGTGGTGTTTATTTGTGTTTATCAAGAACCTACTCATTGATTTACAATCATTCACCATGACAAGTTTAAGTGTTTAACATGCAAATGTTTTATTAGAGCTACTGTAGTGTCATGCTCAAGTTGTTCAAATCTTTAAAGCTAGGGTACTTAACTTTTCTTCTCCATAAATGATATTGTTTGTTCCAACAGCAATAGCTAACTAATTAACTAAGCTAGCTGTTTAGAAAACATTTGCTTACACTTGTAAGAAAGAATCCTGTGAGGGTGGTCCTCTTTTTTTACGTTTCTGTCTGGAAAAGCTGATCTAAACATACAAACGATACATGCATGAGAAAACTAGTGTTTTGATCGAACCAGTGTTTTGAGTTAGTAGGCACTACTGTAGTTAGATGGAAATGATATAACTAAATGACAAAGAATATCTTATTTTTTGTGGATTGAAAGTTATAGGTACCCCAGATTTAAAAATGATGTAATAATTAATAACTGAGCTACATATATATGTACATTGGCGTTGTGTATTACAGCTGTGCGCGCCGATCGAATGAGAGGAGGTCGTAATAAATTTGGACCCATATACAAACTGGACCGTGCCCTGAAGCAGCAACGAAAGGCAGAGGTTCTAGTTTCTCCTCTTTGCCAAACTGACTGTAATAAACCGCTTAGATCTGGCACGAGGAGCCCTCGGGCCTCTTCTGACACTTGGGCTGAGGAACACATTGTAGAGTTCACTGTGGAGGACAGCAGGTGGCCACTCCCGCCCAGAGTTCCCCCACTTGTGGAGGAGCTGGTGCGCTGTGATCCTGACGAGGCACTTGTAAAGAATAAGATCAGACAGCGTTTACAGCAGCACAAGTGTCAGTGGATCAAAGACGGGATGCCAGGTTTCTTCAGCCTCATGTATCTCCTGACTGAGCAGACTCTCCTGTGTGCAGTGGAGTGGGCTCGCACAGCTGTCTTCTTCAGCCAACTCCAGGTAAAAAACAATAACAGCGTTTCTCATTGATGCCGTACAATATCAGGGGCCTCTTTGAGATAACATAATAACATATATTCACCCCACAGTTCTGCTTAGTGTCGTGAAGCAGAACATTTGAGAACCACTGAAATCAACAATTATACACTAAAAAGTGATAAAATATGAAGTAATACATGCTTCAATCCAATCTTAATTTGAGTACATTTTGATCGTCTTAAAACAAGATTTTCCAATGGGACAAGCCATTACATCTTATTTCAAGAACTATTGCATTTTTCTTCTCATTCCAAGGGATACATTCCAAGTGTTATTTTAAAAGTTATATACTGTTCTTATTTTGCGAGGTAAATGACCAAATGACCCTGCTACATAACTGCTGGTCAGAGCTGTTACTTCTTGACCTGATCTCCAGACAAGTCCTAAAGGGCAAAGAGGGTCGTCTCCTTCTCATCACTGGACATGAGGTGTGTAGTGTCAAGTTGCATTTTTATTGGAATGCTTTTGTTGCACCACAAGTGTTGGCAAAGTTTTGTGTTTTAGATTGATCTTTCCATGCTTGGTTGTCATTCCGGTCCCATTTTGTCGCCACTTGTTGAAATCGGTCGTGAGCTGGTTAAAAAGTTTCAGCACCTGAAAATGGATCATTATGATTTTGTTTGCTTTAAGTATTTGATTATTTTCAATCCAGGTATGCAGTTTCACACAACCCACATAATTACCTTTAACATGTGTTGGTGATCTTTCTTAGTCTTTTTTTTGTGTCCCAATGAGCAGATGGGAAAGAGCTAGAAAACCGTTTGCTCGTACAGAGTGTCCAGACGCAGGTTCGTGAGGCTCTGCTGGAGTATGCCCGGATCTCCCAGAGCTCGGGTCGCTTCACTCAGCTACTGCAGTGTCTGTCTGAGATACACTTCATGAGCACTTTGGCTGAAGACTATCTGTGGAGCAAGCACGAGAGTGGAGAAGTGCTCTGCAACAATCTCATCGCCGAAATGCTTCATGCCAAAAGAAGCAACACTTAACCCATGTATTCTTATATTAAAGGAATTAAATTATGTTTTTCAATTTTAAAACAAAACACTATTTAGTTGGATGTATACATAATTTCTCTCTAAAAATCACCACAAATAAAACTGACACTGTTTTTTCTTTATCCATCCATCCATTTTCTTCCCCTTGATCCTTTTCTGGATCGGTAGTCAGAGCCTCACCCAGTACAAATGGCACCAGCCCCTCACTGATCCTCCTGCAGGCAGTGAATCCACAGGAGCCTTGATCTTTCTGCGGGGCTTCAGGCAAAGTGGGGTTAAGTGTCTTCCCAGGGACACAATGACGCCTGACATCAGTGAAAGTTGTGGAGTGGTTCTCATGGTGGGCTCGTCGAACCAACTTGAAAGAAATGAAAAAGGTCTGAATTCTGTGTGGAACTGATGCTGATGATTTATACACTTTGATAATAATTCTGGAGCGACAGTGGCTCAGATGGTAGAGCATTGGTCGTTGGACCCGATGGTCGTAGGTTTGTTCCCATCACAACTCATGCCACCTGCTCCCACTGATGTCTGCTGTCGTTGCGTCCCTGTGCAAGACACTTAACCCCATTTTTCCTGAAGCCCCTGTTGAAAGACCAAGCCTTTGATGAAAGAGAAGCCATCTCCCTGTGGACCCACCAACTGCAGAAGGATCAGTGAGGGACTGGTGCTTTGAGGACTCTGATTGCCACCCCCTGACTCAGAAATGGAGTAATGAAGGGGATGACAATCACATGCCATAACATGATATAATAATTCCACCAATAATAAGTTAAAGCTGATGTTGGGTTTGGACAAAGCCCCAAAGAGATATTTTATTATGTGTATTGCAATGAAATAAAATGTTATTTTTAAATTCAAATAAGATTCCTTAAAACCTTTCCTTGTAGAATTAGTTCCGGAGTACTTCTGTGATATTGGTTTTACACTTTCTCAAATTGGTTTAGAACGCTCTAAAAATACGGATATAGTTTCCACGAGCGTGCCAGGAAGAAGACTATATCAAACTAATCTAATTAACAAAATTGTTAGATAGAACCTTATGATTTTAAACCAAAGAATGGCACAATTTCCTATTTTGTGACTTCCTGTTATTTAGAATGGCAATGATTCTGGTACTGTATAATATATTGTCGTGTTTATTTTGATTTTTATCTTTTTTCTCATTTTGTATTCTACGTAATGAGAAAACAAGTCGTTTTCTTCTTGTTATTTTCTTAGGTAGACTAGTGTAATTACTTTATTTTAATTTAGTTGTTGTGACATCCAAATCTGTGGTCGAGGAACAATATTTTGGAACAACTGTCAGGATCAAGTCTCAAGTTCTTTAGCCACCTGCTACAACAACATGATTAATCAACCTAATGCAGTGACCTTTTGTGTGCAATGGTCCGACCCGATCTAAACAACTCTTCATTAGAGCCACGGCCTTTTCTGTTTTACTGTTGGGACAATGTTCCTCTTTTTATATTAGTTGCGTCACTTCCGGGAAACAGAAAACAGTACTCTTGATCCAAGATGGCGACCCTGACAGTCTCCCGGCCTCCTCACGGGGGATTCAGCTTCGAAAACTGTAAAAGGTGCTCAATTTCTATTTAATGATTTATGAATCCTTAATGTAATCATATTTCGTGACGATTTTGGAAACATGAAAGCTTTAAGGCATTATAAAATGTGTTATTGTCTGTTAATGCTAGCTCCAAGACATCCATGGCTAGCATACAATGACTCAGGCAAATGGGCGATATTTTTTCAAGCTACATTGAAAACATGCATGTAGTATTTTAGTCATTTTGATATTATATACTATTCTACCGTCATAGTGTTAAACTCTCATTCAATATGAATCGATTGTTATTTCAATTAATTGATTAGTTGTGTAGACCTAAAAGCTCCCTGGAGAACATCTTCATATGGTTACTGAATACACATAGGTTTGTTTGACAATGAGTTTTCAAAGTATTTTTAATCAATCTACATTGAAGGTCTTATCTGAACCGCTTCTCAGAATGCTGAAGTATATATGCAAGGTTAAAACAACGATAGAACCAAACATCGATGATCTGAACTAGAAAATATTTCCATTTGCGAACCCAAAGGATAGAAGCATTTTTCTATCATACCTGTTTCTATTAAAATGGCATTATGTATTTTTATTTTTTTTACTATATAATCGTTGGATAATGTTATTATAATGCTCAGGCTATTACAGACACCATGTGGCATAATGTACTTCTAAAGCTATAAAATCTCCATGTATAGAATGTCAAATAATGAAATCCGTGATCTGGAGACTTTCTGGACATAATCCGATTACCTTTGTCATTTGTTTTCTAGAAATGCTCTCATTGAAGGAGAGTCTAGCAAAGTCGGTTGTAGCTTGCCAGCGGCTCGCAAGACGGGAACTACCATTTGTGGTGTTGTTTACAAGGTAAGTTTTTGCTCATCACCAAGCAAGTTTGCCAGAACCTAGGAATAAAAAGGACATAGGGACTTGCATCAAGCAGCACGGTGGTGTAGTGGTCAGCGCTTGTGCTTCACAGGAAGAAGGTTCTGGGTTCGATTCCAGCTCCAGGCCTTTCTTTGTGGAGTTTGCAATTTCTCCCCGTTTCTGGGTAGGCTTCCCCAGTTGCTCCGGTTTCTCCTACCACAAAAGATATGTGCAATAGGTCTGGCATGTGCCTCGTGTATGGTGACCCCGCTTCCATCACTGTGCGGGGTTAGAGGACAAATGTCCTCAACGATTGTTAAGCACATTGTGACTCTGGTCTGTTAAATGCGCTATATGAATAAAGATTACTTGCCTTCTTAGATAGCTGCATGACAGCAGCACTAAGGTAAGTCTCACAGGACTGTTTAGGGTTTCCAATAATAATAAGTATGATTCCAGACTCAAGGTCCAATCATAATTCCATTGAGTTGAAATATCCATGTTTATATTTGTGTCTTTTCGCAGGATGGAGTTATTCTTGGTGCAGATACAAGAGCCACTGAGGGCATGGTAGTGGCAGACAAGAATTGTTCAAAAATCCATTTCATCTCCCCCAATATTTAGTGAGTAATATTTTAGTATTCTAAAACTTACATAACGTATTTGCATTTGTGAACAACTGACAGAACAAAATATATCTTTTGTATCTATCATTAATAATTTGCAACATTTTATCAACATGTATTTTTCGGTTCCAGCTGCTGTGGGGCAGGGACAGCAGCTGACACAGAGATGACCACTCAGCTCATCTCCTCCAACCTTGAGCTTCACGCTCTCTCCACCGGGAGAGTGCCACGAGTGGCCACAGCCAATCGCATGCTCAAGCAAATGCTCTTCAGGTAATCTCATCAACATAATATTTTAGTTTAACATTTACATTTCAGTGTGAGCTATCCAACAGTATACCATGTTTGTGGCTTCTGTGTTTTAGGTATCAGGGGTACATTGGAGCTGCTCTAGTTTTAGGTGGTGTTGACTGCAATGGGCCACATCTCTACAGCATTTATCCTCATGGATCTACAGACAAACTTCCTTATGTCACAATGGGTATGTTATATCTTCATTCAATGTTTGACAGTAATTGTCTAATACCTTTTTCGCTTTTCAGGATCTGGGTCTCTTGCTGCGATGGCTGTGTTTGAGGACCGCTATAAGCCTGACATGGAGGTAGTTTTCTTTAACTTCAGTGTCTGTCCACATGTTTGATATTATTTTATTGATTATTACACGTTACATTTGCAGGAGGAGGAAGCAAAGAAACTGGTGCGTGATGCCATTGCTGCTGGAATCTTCAATGATCTGGGCTCTGGCAGCAATATCGATCTTTGTGTGATCAATAAGGACAAAGTGGACTACCTGCGACCTCACGATGAGGCCAACAAGAAGGGTGTCAGGTATGAACCAGAGACTGAAGCACTATAATGCAATTAGTTTAGTGCCGGTATTGATTTTAAAAATGCTTGACCTGGTGAGGGACTTATTGTCTTGTTGCTTGTTTTGTACTAAGAGTAAATGAGCTTGAAGCTATGCAGCAGTGAGTACAGAAATACTATGATAGTGTGGTGCAGTATTTTGTGTAGACTGTTTAATTAATGCATGACCTCTGGCTTGGCTTGCTGTGACCATTAACCCCTACAGTGTTTATTTGATTTGAATATTTTAGGATTTTAATTATGTTTGTGAATTTGTTCTCTGTATAGGACTGGAGACTACAAATACAAAAGAGGTACAACTGTTGTGCTGACCAAAGTTGTGACCCCTTTGAATCTGGAAGTGGTTGAAGAAACAATTCAGACCATGGACATCTCCTAAACTGTTACTTGATATTCTCCCCAAAACTTCATAAGATGACTTTGTTTTCCAATAAAAGTGTCCAATTGTTTAAAAATGACAACTTTAATGTTTCTTTCTAGAACTATCTCTTCAATTGCACTGTATGTGTTACAAAGAGACATTTCAAGTTTGTAACAAACGCAAATTGAGGCAAGGTCACAATTCAAAGAGCAGCCTCCAGTAAGTGCTGATAAAACTTTGAACACAAGCAGATTAACTACATGACTTGACAGGAAACCAAAGTATTTCACAGCTCCTTGCTAACAAGGCACGTTTCACAGTGACCAAGGTCTATACAGTCATAAACGTCAAATCTTTAAAACGGCACCAAACTACATTTTAAAATGATCTTCGTGGAGCACAACAATGTTAATAAATTCAAAGTAATCTTTCATGTGAGTACTTTGAACAAACATCTTTGATAAATTCTGCATTAAATACATGGTGAAAAATTATCTTCATGCCACAAATGAGTGAGGTATGAACGTGGATGTAATTCATTTTCAACAGCTTCTAATGGCACATTTCTGGAATGTAATTCAAATATAACTTCAAGCTAGTTGAAAGTTAGAGGGTCTTGATGAATTCCACGCCTCAGTCCCCAAAACTTTGCGGCGTGTTCCTGAGCTCTGGAGGAGATATAGCTTACAGCCTGTGGTTTTGAGGTCTTTGGGAACTGCCCGAACGTGGATCTGCTGCTCAGGCGTTTGAGGTCCACGTGTGCATCTGTTTGGCAAACTGCATCACAAAGACTATGTCCGGTCTCTGGTCTGGGTCTGGGTTAATGCACATGCCAACCAGGTCTCGCAGCTGTGGGCAGGAAGGAAGCATCAGATTACATAATTAATCCTTTACCAAGAGCTCAATGTCTAGCTACAACTGCATTATAACATGTAAGGTATCACTGTGATTTAATGTCTGCCTTCCAAAAGCCAGCGCAACATTTTGCCTTAAGTTTAATAGAAGCCTTTAAAAAAGTGAAGCGTCCAAAAATACTGTTAATGCACAAACCAGAAGGTTTGTGCACTAGGGTATAGCCTGGTCTTACCACACCGTCGTAGAAATGTCATTTCGTACATGGAGGCAAATGATAATTGACCTGAGTTTACGAATGGCCATGAGTAGTTTATAGTTTAAGCAACAAACTGAAATGAAAGGTAGGAGGATTTTCACAAATTTCAGGCAAAATTATAAATTATGCTTTTGAGGGTGTTTTTATTGTATGAAAAACATTTGTTACTTGTTTATTTCATTTGTTGTATGGAACTATTATTGACAAAGCCTTAGTTTAGACATTGTGGGCGTAGTTTTGATCAGTGTTATTCAAAATTATAATTTATTTGATTGTACTTGGTGTTATTTATCTTTGCTGTCCTAAACAACCACACTATTAAACATAGATTTAGACTTTAGGAGAGCTTCATAAACTCACCACTCCATCCACTGCCGTTATTTTAGACCGCAATAATTAAATACACACCTTCTCAGAATAGTGATCAGCTGGAAGAGGAGGATAATCACACTGCTCAATCTTTTGGCACAAGGACAGAAGATTCATCTTATCTCCATAAAAAGGACTCTGCAGAGCAGCCATCTGTAGACAGTGGACAACAGGTTTGTCTGATGTAAAAAGGACAGAATCTTCAGTGTTGATTAGTTGGGGATAAATGACCATTCATTCACACATTTATCTCCATGTGTTTTTTCCATTCTTACTGCTCATCCATGCTTTGTCGTCTACCATGAACCATGGGGTTTGCAGCTAGAAATTAGCTTAGGTCTTCATATGGATTCAAACACTTTTATCATATTTCCTCAATTTTGTCTACCATTTGAAAGAATCAAACTGTCAAACCATCAAACCTCCAAATGCAATCATCAAACAAAAAACAAATGAAGCTAAATAAATACTTGCCTCATATAGAAGACATCCTAAGGACCAGATGTCTGACTTAAAATTATAGCCATTCTCATGGATTCGCTCTGGTGACATGTAGTATGGTGTCCCCACTAGCTCAAAAAAGATTTTTTTTGTTAATACTTGTTAATTATAGTTTAGAAGATGACAGTGAGTAAGATTTAGATTTACCTAAGGAGTGAGCAGCTGTGGTTTTTGAGCTAAAGAAGCGTCCTAATCCGAGATCTCCCAGCTTTACTTCTCCAGTGGCCGTTATGAACACGTTCGCTGGTTTGATATCTAAATCAAAAAGATAATTATTACCTCAGACATAATTCTATGAAGCCTGATAAGTGAAATCTGGTGGAAAAGGTGGTGTATTGTTAAATCAATGGAATAGATGAATAGAAATATAATACAAATCCAGAACTTACCCCTGTGCATCACTCTCCGCGAATGCATGTGCTCCAGAGCGCTGCAGAGTTGTACAAAATATTTCCATATTGTTCTCTCTGGAATAAGTCGTCGCTTCTTCTTGAAATACTGTTGCGTTCCAAGAAAAGTTCAAAGTAGATTTAGAACAATGACGTGACACGAGTAGCACTAGATTTGTCCAGTGTTGCGAACCTTAATCATCTGGGAGAGATCACCAGCATCAGCCAACTCCAGCACAATGTTCAGCTCATTGTCCTCGATAAAGGAGTCGAGGTACTTGATCACATTCGGATGATTAAGTTGCTAAAAGGAAACAGAAAAGTAGACAAATTGGTAAATACATTTTATTATTATTAGTTTATTTGATATGGACATATCAACTGCATTGGACAAACCAGATACATTGTTTCCAGTGCTAATTTGCAACACCTGTCCATAGGAGGCTACACATTTCAAAAAACACAATACAATACAGTACAATATTTAAAAAGGTACATTGAGCAACTTTATATACAGCATTTTATACTTGCTCCTTATTATGCTAAGTCAGGGTTTTTGTACTTAAATCTTGCTTCTTCATCGTATTAAACTTGGAGATTTCAAGACTTCTTTCCTTATTAGGCTAAAGGCTAAAACTCTAAGATAGAGTTTTTTATACTGCATCATTTCAGGCTTCTGCTGTGTGCTTAGGGTTGCCAACTTGAGAACAAAAAAATAAGGGACACCAAAAAGACAAATACTGTAACATACATTATTTATGAATGTTACAGTAAAGACCAATTTCTGTAAAAGCAAAAGAAAAAAGAAAAACATGTATTCATTAAAAAAACTCACTAATCAAAGTCTGTAGCAGTTCGATATGGTCATCATTATTTATATTGTCTGAGAGCTTTGTGCAGGTACTGCAGGTTTGTGGCTTCAGTAAAAGCTATTGTTCGTTTACAGCTGGTCTGGATATTTGTTGACGGTCCCTAAGTGCTTTTCTCGGCGCTTGCAGTGTATTGGATTCAGAGGATTTCTCTGCATTAAAACAGCGCATTTAATTTGTAAAATCAACGTAGAGATGATCATTTTAGCACAATTACTTTTGTTTAACAAAGTAGTGTGTGTTCGTGTGTGTGTGACATGCAGTGAGTGAGTGATGCATTTAAGGTGGCTCTGAAAATACGGGACAAAAGCCGTCCCGTATCAGTTCAATACGGGACGCACATAGTTTTTGTATAATATGGGACAATTCCGTATTTCAAGGGACGGTTGGCAACCCTATGTGTGCTCCTCATTTCTTCTGTCTGTAACTTGTTATGCAACACTGAAACTTGCTGAAACTGGTTTGTGTGAGTTTTTCCTTGCCAATGCAGGAGGGTCTGTTGGGAAGTTAGTGTCCAACTAGAAAGACTGTGGTGATGATCCAGGACACTCTACATTCTACAACATGTATGGACATTTATCAACATTCATGGACTCTCCCTATGGACCAATACTATGCTTATATTTTGTGTCTTAACTGTTGATTCTCCGATCTGTGTTGGTGATTTCAATGGTTTTGTTAGGTCCTCTGAGATGACTTCTGTTGTGATTTAGGGCTGCACAAGAATAAATTGTTGTTGTTGTTGTCGTTGAAACTTCCCCACTGTGTGACGAATAAAGGTTCTATTAATCTTAATCTTCTCTGGTGGGGTCTGCTACCTGCCTGTTGCCATGGAGATGTTATTCAATTACAGATGTTTTACTTCTGAAAAAGATGAATGCAGTACTTTCTGGACTATCAAGCTTGTTTTGTCATTATAGCACATTCCAGGCCAATCGTTACAAGGGTATAAAAATCATAGTTTACCTTAAGTAAATCAATTTCTTTTATGCAGTCCTGACGCGCCTTAGCGTCCATCATCTCAAATATCTGCATGACAAATATATATTAGAGAAGTAACAAACTTAAAAGCATTGAAATCAGACAAAAACAAGAATGTACACAGGTTTCCTCCATTGTGAGATAATAAAGTAAATCTCAGGTTGTGTGTATATCAAGATAACGTCACACTTATATGATAAATTCACATTGTGAATTTGAATCAAACTAAGAAGAATATAGCTGCGTCATTCTCATTAATCCACTTTAAACTTGAGCTTAATGAGTTCAATCTATTCATTACCTGGACTTTTTTGAGTGCAACGAGCCGTCCTTCCAGCAGATATGTGGCTTTGTAGACCTCACTGAACTGACCACGACCAATCTTCTTTTCAATACGAAAGTTTGCAAGCGTGCAATAATATGTGCAGCTCGGGACATTGTGCTGTAAATTGAAAATGTACATTTGCATAATATTATTTGCATTATTATGTTAAAAGTTTTCATACCCCTTTCACTTTTCCACATTTTGTCTTATTACAACCACAAAGACAAAATAGAAAAAAACAAACATATTTACTATTAATCTACAGCACAGATGTTGACGGTAGCCTCTTTGGTATTATTGTGGATACGTGGACAAGTAAGTAATGTTGACAAAAATAAACCCTCTGGTGACGTTTTTTTCTGAAAGACCAATGCAGAGCGGCCGTCAGAAATTAAGCAAAACTGCAAAAACACTTTTTGACCACAGACCTCCAGATCATGGATTATCGCCACAATTCAATTCTTTTTTTTTGCGTGTCCCATTTCTGACGGTCACAGAAACTGTTAAACAAATCCACGCATTCTATTTTGGCTTATTTTTCTCACAAACAGTTAGGTGGAGGGTAATTTCTACAAAAGCAGTAAAATGTGTGAGATGTCCATCCATCCATTTTCTACCCTTTAATCCATTTCTGGGTCAGGGGGGTGGCAGTCAGAGATGCCACCCAAGTCTCATAGCACCAGCCCCTCACTGACCCTCTGCAGGTGGTGAGTCCACAGGAGGACGGCTGCTCTCTGAGTGTGAGCATAGCCTTGATCTTTCAGTGGGGGCTTTGGGCAAAGTGGGGTTAAGTGTCTTGCCCAAGGACACAACGACAGCAGTCATCAGTGGGAGTCGGTGGAGAAGGTGTAGAGGTGGGAATTGAACCCACGACCTTCAGGCCTGAAGGCCAATGCTCTACCAACTGAGCTACTGTGTGTGCTATGTGTGAGATGTATCAGAGATAATACATTGAATGGAAATGGTTATGTTTAGGGATTTATACTTGCCTGTGACCGCTTGTGACAGACTTTAAAAAAAGGGTTTAATGCTCTACATCCTTTTGTTTTTTTCCTTGTCTTTGTAAATCCATGTCTCCAAAAAGACCAATCAATCAAACCAATGACTTTGACGAGCAATTACTGCGCTGCTCCTGATTGGCTTTTTGGTTGTTAGGTAGTTACTATCTGAGAATTAGGCCCCAAGTTTTGAGTTAGCTCTAAAGCTTCTTCTGGGAAAAGTCAAACGCTTAGGGTGACGTCAGCACAGTTAATCCAAGCCTTCGTCACTATGTGCAGTAGTTTGTACAAATTAAAATCATGTATACTTTTACTTGTCTTGTCTTTACTTTGTCTTTCACATAAAACGCCAACAAAATATATTTTTCTCTGTGGTCATAAGTAACTTGAAAAATAGATGGGAACACAGGAATTAAACTATAATTTTAACATATCTGAAAGTAGAATACAATATAAAGATGTCCTACCTGATCATTGTGAATCTTATAAAGTGCTTTATGTTTGTCGAGCGTAGCCTCGTTTTTCAGTGCTTCCATGGTGACATCACCTCCAAGTAAGTGTCCCTTAGAGAACAGAAAAAATTGAGATAATTATGCTTCGTAACATTACAATGACAAATATTGTCCCAATAACAATAAAAAAACAATAACTAGTATTCCATGAAAAGAATATTTGCTTTGACTGATGTATCATCAAACGGGTTGATTTGGGGATGGTCTGTTATTGTCCAGGGTATATGATAACAGGAAAGAGGGATATGATAACAGAAAAGAATAATAATAGTGAAAAAATACATCAACAATAGTGAGGAGTGGGTCTGGCTCCTCTGAAAACACAAAACGATAAAAGTCCTTTTTAATATACCAGCAATATACTAACCTCACTTCTGCTGACAAATAATGACCTGCTCCTCTTTTGTAGGACTATAAAGTCATAAAACTTCTACCTTAGCATTGGAGCCAATCTCCAGGAGTTATTTTTCTGAGTGGCATTTCAAATGTAGATATAGGACTTCACAATGGCCTTTTTTAATGTTCTGCATTTGCAGTTTTTGATTAACATTTTGTCTTAGATTTCATCGTCCTCATAATCTTCCGAAAAGGTGCCAGTAACATTCATCATCTCCTACACACGTGCACCCGAGTTGCACAGAAGTGTTGAGTCAGCACTAAATGCAGCACATGTGCAAACTTGCACACAACCAGCTCAGCTAACATTTCAGTAATGCAACTTGGCTTCTTCCCCTTTAGGTTAAAGCACGAGAACAATGCTGGTTCTGTACACATCTGCAGCCTGTTGTCTGCTCAGATAATGGTCACTGTGCTCTAAAGAAAAAGTTATTCTAAAAAACATCATGTTATCCATGTTCTCTGTGATTAGTAGGTGTTTGTTGTTAGAGATTTAACAACAATGATGAGATAAAAACAAAAAAATGTATACATATATATATATATATATATATATAAAGAGAAAATAAGGAAGTACGTTGCACAGAACAAAACTATTATAAGAGCCACAATTCATAGTTGGTGGTTATCATAAATCATTTCCACCACACTCTTGGCATTACCAACAGGGCTGGGTGTTGGCAGGAGCCTCCTGATGACACATATCCCGACACTCTGCCCTGAGTACACATGTGTCTACACATCCTTTCAGTTTGTTTTGAAGAATCCCTTCTATTCAAAGAGGCCGAAACAGACTGTGTGGCAAACCATGGGACAGGACTGCCCTGTCACACTTTGGCACGTGACTAATTTTAGTCAGTTATTTGACCTTGCCCGCCCATGGCACAGCCAGCATCATAACCAGAGACTGTAAAATATATTATAGTCAGCACACTATTATATATTAAATATTATAGAACATATACAAATATATATTACAGTCTATGATTATAACCCATACTGTCTCTCTGCTGCTCCACTGTTCATGCAGAGTTTAGAATGTGCGTGTAAAAGATCCATCAGAGACCGAAAATCCAATTTATTTAATCCAAGAATACTTAATGAATGCGAAATCTATCTATTATTACAAACGCACAAGCATTTAGTGTTAGCCTTTTGCGGTCTGTCCTACAGCAACACTTGGACAGTCTCGTGTCCTTTGAGTTTGTATGTAATACTAGGCCTAACTTTTATTTTCCGTCCATATATCACTTCACATGTTGCTCGATAATGGGTAAGATGAAGCTTTAACTCTAGTTGGTGTTCAAGGATAGTAAACAACATGCTGCTAAAGCTCAGAGCAGATAGATCGGGTCCACACGAGGGGCTTCTACCAACAAGCAGGAAACTCTCCAGATTCACCAGTTATTGGTTTCTAAAGGGGCACTTACCACACGAAGACAAATGTCCTTTCCCGAGAGCTTCACAATCCAACAAGTTATAGATTGGTTCTTGTTGTTGTGCGTCTTTGAGCATGAGCGAACCCCGTCCCGTCCCACACCCTGCGTCTCTGCGTCTCTGCGCGCGGCCACGGTGCGTGGCTGCGTGCGCCACGAGGGGCTTTGGTCGCTTCAAGAACGTGCGCTTTTGATATGAAACCAAAACTTAAAACCAGACCGTGGTTTAAGGAGTTAAATAGCACGATGAAGATAAGTAGGTCAAACGTCACGCACGCCCCCTTGGCATGGATTGCTCGGTTGGTCGAAGTACCATGGTACCATAGACTGTACACATGGTACACAGTAGAGTCCAGAATCAGATAAAAAAGGGCGGTAATGCATTTATGCTGGTGCCATCCGCACCAGCAACAATAATGTCATCGCATGTTTCGTACCGCATTAATGAATGCGTAAGGCTATACATTTTTACAGTGTATGTCTATACACAGTTAAGCAAACGTAACATAGAGGCTGAGGAATGTACATTACGCCTAATTGTCTTCATAAAAACATGTTGTCAACATTGTACAGTGGAGCAGTGCGTGATGTGCGAACATACAGACTAATATATTGTAGCGACCCTGCATTTATGTTATGTTAATGCTGTTATTTCATGTTATTCTTCACGGTTTAGTGCACTTACAGGATTGGTTCTGAGGATGGAGGGGCGGGCCTACTGGGGGGGTTAGAGAAGATTGTTTTGATAACGCGGTCTTTTTTACCCGGGACTGCGAACGGGCTGTTGTTCTGCTAAGTTGTGGACTTGTATTGGCGTGGTTACGGCCGACAGTAACCATCTTGTATTAAAGCAACAAGTAGAACACTGTCTCATTCATTACCTCGAGCCAGGACGTTTGCAGTAATTTCTGTCAGAATTCCCCAGCCCCAGAAGCTGCAGAGAGGCCGCAAACACAGCCCTTCGTTCTGCAGGTCCTTTTAGTTCAACAAGAGACAAAAACCAATGTTAAAACAGTAATAGAAATGACAGATACCAAACCTGATTTCAAAAGGTTATATTGAAGATTTTGCAAGCAATATTACAAGATAACGGTCTGCGAACACAAGTCTCGCTTCGCGTTCAGATAAGGAGTGGCCCCGGGGACGTCTTTCACCCTCCTGGTCAGAAGAAAAAGAAAAAGCCCCCGTGCCTCCTCCTGTACATCTTTTATACTGTACATCCAAGGTCACTGACATCACAGATTCGTGGACTCTATGACTTCTTCTGGCCAGCTGCCAAAGCCTGCACCTGCTCTGATCACCACTTGTCTCCCTCTTGTCCCCCTCCCATTCTCACACAGACTAACCTTGAACTCACTGCTCTTTGAGATTTACACAAACAAGTGCTAATTTGGCAACAGAAACAATACTAAACTGATTTTAATTTTAACTGGTCCAGGAGTTCAATATTCCAACAGTCCCCCTGTTGGCCGGAGAGGAACTCTTCGGACATCCATCACTCTCGTCTCAGATGGCCCATCTTCATCAGTTGATCCAGCATTACATCCTATACTCAGTCTAATCCCAGTCTTCACGACGATCTGTGAACTCCTAAACCACCCCATGTGACATTATGAAAAATGTGGTGGTCTTCCACTCAGCCCTTACTTCAGACCCGCCCCAAAGGCCTCTGGGCGGACTGAGCATCCAACTCACCCTAAACTACATACATTGAAGTGATCCTATAAAACAATCTATATGTGGGTGTGCTGCGGTGTCTAGTCTGTGTAACAAAAACAATAGTTGCAAGAGCTGTGGAGAAAGAATATGTTTGTGTCGTGCATCAATTTGAATTATGTAATTTTTTATTTTAATTTTTAATTTTTATAATTTTTTATCGCATCCCCGATTTTCCCAAGTCCCTCTTACAATTTTGCAAGGTTATGTGCGTTATTTACATGCAAGCAGTTATACATTTTTGATTAAAATATTTTGATAATATCATAAAGCATACTCACAACTCCTCTGGTGATATTCTGACAATATCACAGGCCATACTCACCCGTTCTTCTGATGATTGTCCTTTATGGCTTAGGCTATGGTCATCAATTCTTCTGGTTCCCACTGTAGGTCCTGGGTTAGTAGCAGTTGTCTTTCTGCCACCTTCCCTTCCACAGCGGCTGTTATCACTCTGTTACATAAGGATCGTATGCACGGAATACTACCAGAAATCCCCAACAAAACCATAGAGGTTTCTTCCCTGATCTGTCTCTTAGGTCCAATGACTCACCTCTCAAGTCCACTGTAATTGTAAGACATGGTACACTTCCCTGCATAATCCCCTTTGTCATGGAAATTATTTTAGAATGGTGTCTTGCAAACTCTGTAGTTGGTGTTGGTGTCCAATCTAATCCAGTATATGCCACCATTGTCCCCCATGATTTATCTCTCATGTCATTTGTCATGTACCATTCATAATCTGAATTTTCTGCTCCCACTTTTTTCCCTTTGTTTACTAATGCTATAAAAGGTACCTGGAATGCCATATGTTCTCCCTTTGCTAAACACAATTGCACCCCAAATAGGTATTGTCGCTTTTTTGCACATGCTCCCAGTTTATCCAATTCCCTTTTTGGTCTTATTTTTATCCCTGTCACCTTTGTAGGTTGAACTTTGCGTTCTTTCATCTGTTTGCCGGGTAAAATGTCTGAATAATCAGAAATTGAGGAATTGACACCAAGAGTTTTCTCCTTACCATAGACAGTTGTTGGTTTTGCATACCCCTGGCCTAACTCTGTTTCCCAGGCCCACATAAAAAATCCAGCTATAATCCCTATACCTACCACCATACTCACCCACTCTCGTGTCCTCAACCCTAAGAATGTCCATGGTCCTATCATGTTGAGAGTACCTGCATGGTGAACACCTCAATCTTAAAGTCTATCCCATGCATACCAGATTAGTGTTTTCAGCTTTGATTTGCTCAATTGCTCATCTAAATAGTTGATTCTGGATCATGAATATTTTTTTTTTTTTTTTTTTTTTATATAATCAATCAATAATTATAAAAATAATATTAATAATCAATCAATAAAAATAATAATCAATAATCAATCTTCCCCCTGTTTTATCACAATCCTGTGATAAATTAAACATCCCTTATAGGCCAATTTGTCACCCCCACCATTATCACTTATGTCGGATCCAAACCACGTCAGTTAAATGCACAGTCCCCTTCATCAGCCCAATCCATAAAGTCAGAGAAATTGCCAAATTCTTCAATAACCTGAAGTCCATTGACCATAATTTCAAACCCCTGAATCCCAAAATCTAAAATGGCAATATCCTGATATTCAACATCCTGAACCTCATCGCCCTGACCTTCAACAACCCAATCTCCAATGTCCAGGACCCCAAAACCCTGTCCTCCACCATCTCCAATGTCAAAATCCTGATATCCAGACTCCTGAACCTCAGGGGCCAGAACCTCAACATCCCAATCTCCAAAGTCTGGAAGTCCAGAGCCCCAAAGTCCAAAATCCTCAACTCCCAACAGTTCCAGAAGGTCTCTCATACTATTGTCATCACTAGTCCCTATGCCATCAGACACTTGCATCACAGGGCTATCTGGAGGGACTCTATAGGTGCATTATAGGGTTGTTCCGCCCTCCCTAGAACTCCCCATGTTCTAACTAATAGAGTCAGACACTTCCCTCTCTGTCCCCCTGTCGGCCTCCTTTTCTGATGATGTAGTGATATCTTTCATTACATCAAGCAGGGATCTTTCTGGTGCACTAGTGGGCCTAGTGTGTGATATGTGCACAAAGGATGACTCTGTAGTTTGTGAGTCGTCTAAGTAATATTTCAAAGTGTACTCGTATAGTTTGGAGATTTTAAATGGGCCTTTCCAAGTTAGCTGATCCCAACAATGTTTCTGGTTTTTCACATAAATGTAGCCTCCAACTGTAAGTTTGTCTTTTACAGCCTGCAAAGGGGGCTCTGGAGATTTCTGGGTCAGCGTGACAATGTTATCTTGCAGAAACTTCACTGTAGTGACCAATGTTTTCATATAAGTTTCCCTAGCATCATCAGTGGCTGCTGGAGGTGGGAGCTCCAGTGAACGAGATAAGTTACTGGGCATGTGTCTCCCATACATTAGTTGGAATGGTGACATAAAAATTGGCCTGCTTGGTTCTCCTCTTATTGCCATCAAGGCTATAGGCAGTGCCTGTTTCCAATTCATTTTTCCAGACCTACACATGTGTGCCAATCTGTTTTTCAGTGTCTGGTTGAACCTTTCAATCACCCCTTGTGATTGCGGGTGCAACACTGCTCCAAAATGCTGTTTTATATTCAGCCTCTCACATAGTTGAGCCATTGTCTGGTTCTTAAAATGCGAGCCGTTATCGGATCTGATAACTCTCGCTGGGCCGTACCTTGGAAAGATCTCTGTCAAGAATACTTTGGCTACTGATTCTGCATTTGCTTTTGCCAAAGGAAAAGCTTCAGGCCATCGTGTGAGTGGGTCAATCATTGTGAGCACGTATCTACACCCATCCGCTTTCTTATCAGCAGTCATGTCGATGAAATCAATTACGATTTCTGCCATGGGCCATGGAGGCACTGGGTATGCTCCTATGCCTGCCTTCACAGCCCTTGCCTTAGAGAGCCCTTGACATATGTCACATGAGTCACATAGATGCTGGATGGTTGGTAGCATAAAAGGATGGAACATGTGCCGTCTTAGTTCTGAAAAAAGTTTTGAGCACTTTATGTGTGTTTCCTCATGCTTACTTTGAATGATCTGTAGTAGTTTTTTAGTAGTCACGCACGGTTTACCAAATGTATCATAGAATACTCCTTCACTGTTTTTAATGGCCCCTGCAGTTTTCCATGCTGTCACATCATACAGTGAGGGATTTTCTTGCAATATGTGTGGACTGTTCTCTTCCCTTTCTTCCACTGGTGCCTCTGTTCCCTCAGGATTGTCTTCAATAACTGCCTGCAGAGCCGTACCTATCCTGTCATACCCAGCTGTCATTTTAGCAACTCTATCAGCAAACTCATTGCCCTTTGCCACAAAGTCTCTGGCTCGAGTATGTGCTCTGCACTTGACCAATGCAGTTTTGTGACGTACATTCTTGATTTGATCTGCCACCTTCTGCCACAATTCCAAATGTGTAGGTCTCAAATTTTTTTGTTGTGATGAAATTGTCATGCAATACCCAGATTGGCAAGTGCAAATGCACTGTAGAATGCACATACTCAGAGTCAGTATATATTGTGATAGGTCCTTCTGGCCTGTTCTCCAAAGCCAGGCTAAATGCTTCTAATTCTGCATACTG